AAAAAAAAAAAAAGAAGGTATAGAATAATGCAAATCCGAAATATATTATGTATATCACATAATGCAGTACAAGTGGTCTAATGTTAGCATGCGTTATTGCCCATGCATTTGCCCCGTCATCCGAATGTCACAGTTGCTCCAATAGGTCATCCACACATAACTCCTTCTCCTGCAAACTGCGTTCGACTTCGCACTGTTCTATGACGAATGCCAGGATCAGTATCCATGTTTTAGCGGTTAACGTTTTTTGCATGTCCGGTGGCGGATGCAGTGATTGGGACGGTTGTGCATGTGTCACGCGTAGCACATCTTCTTTTCCCATTAATGTTTCCACTCCAGGGCTTTCGCCTGTTGCCGTTACTGTCTGCTCCTCTACATTATGCAACAAATGTTGGAACCACTCCTCCGTATACATACGCAGTTGCCGATGTTGTTGCGCTACCCATGCTTTCCATGCGTGCTTCTTGCTTTCCATGGTTGCGGCTTGCCAGTGCTCACCGGATGCTCCGTTTGCCACCATGTGCTCACGCAGGTATTGTCTCCATGCCGATTTGAGAGCATTAAACCACGGCTGCGTGGTGCACTCGCGCAGAATAGCTTTGTTGCAGTCAATCCAGTTAATCCATTGGGTGCAGTACGACTTCGCGGCCCCCGGAACAGTAGGGGCAGGACTCTGTTCCTCTTCTAACTGTATAGTTTCCATACAATTCCATGGATCGGGGTCACCTTCATTCGGTGGACAAGGGTCCATTGCTAACTGTATGGATTCCATACAACTCCATGGATCGGGGTCCTCTGCGTTAGGTGGAAACGGGTCTGTTTCTAACGGTATAGTGTGCATACAACTGCATGAATCGCAGTCATTAGGTGGACCAGGTGCCGTTTCTAACTGTATAGTTTCCATACACTTGCATGGATCGGGGTCTTCTTTGTTAGGTCGACAATTGTCCGTTGCGAACTGTATGGTTTCCATACAACTCCATGGATCGGGGTCATGTGGTGGACAATTGTCCGTTGCTAACTGTATAGTGTCCATACAACTCCAAGGATCGTGGTTATCTTCGTTAAGTGGACATGGATCCGTGTCGAACTGCATGGTTTCCATACAACTGCACGGATCGGGGTCATGTGGTGGACAAGGGTCCGTTGCTAACGGTATGGTTTCCATACAACTCCATGGGTTATCTGCGTTAGGTGGAAACGGGTCTGTTTCTAACTGTATAGTTTCTATAGAACTCCAAGGATCGGGGTCATCATCTGGAGATGCGTCCGTTCCGTCGAAGTCCGTGGAGGAAACATTGATCCCTGGAGGACCCTGGTTTGTGCTAGGAGCATCCGGGAAACTACTATGCCCGGTTGCATGCGGCTCCAAGTCATGTGCAAACTCATGCACGACAATCTGCCAATAGTCGTCTTTGACGTTTTCCCATTCGGTCGCTTCACATTCGTTGAGCACTTCTAGATGTAGTTCAATGATGGTGCGTTTATGCACGCGTGGGGGGCGGCCTCTGCCGGGTGTTGACGCGGGCTGCCTATCCCTAATTATCGTGTACCCGTAATCGGGTGGCGGCAGGTCGCCGCGTTGTAGATGGTGTAGTATGTCTTCGTCGAGTGGCGGTGACGGCACGTCACGAACGGTTCGAAACTGTCGTCGTCGTTTGGCCAGGTAGGCAAAGTACTAAACAGAAAAAGCGGGTAAAGAGGAAGGTGAGGACGGTAGCATAAAAGGAATGAACACGGGTGTAGGAGTATAGTGGTTAGAAAGATCATATATTGGAGCCGGTTGGGATGTTCTGAGGCATAAACATCCGGCGCATGCGACATGCCCGCATTGTCGTATGTACTTACCTTCCATAGGAAGAACGCAATGATGCCAATACCAACCGCCGCGGGAATGATCGCGGGGGTGTACGGCTTGACATCTTCCCATGTAACACCAGGCCGAACGGAAGGGGTGACAACGTCGGTGCCGCTACCACCTGCTCCACGGCCTCCTCCACCACCAGTACTACCTCCTCCTGCTGCACTGCCGCTACCGGTGCCGCCAGCAGCCTTTTCACCACCCTCACCTCCCTTTCCTTGCCCACCAGACACTCCATCCGCCAAATCAGCATCACTGAAACTGCCACTACTACCCGATTGATCTGGGTTCGGGTTCGGTTTTGGTTTGGGTGGATTGAGAGGAGGCGGGTCATCAGCGCCGCCATGGACGGGGGCCCCGGCAACCTGGGTGTTGTCCGTAGCAGGTGTACTGTTTGGTCCTGATGTTACACTTTCAGTAGGTTTCTGTGAGGGATTCTGGTCTCCTGAGGTCCGCGTGGTAGTGGCAACAGTGGGTGATGTTGTTTCTGACGATGATACTGACGGATCCTGACTTGTGGAACCGGGGGGAGCACCATGTCCTGGGAGTAAATATGAAAAGGAAAGAGAACATGTGATGAAACTGAATTTATGTCCCGGATGGTTCACCACGGTCGGTTGGGCACATGATCCGTCGCTCATGGTTGGGTGGCCGCCGATCGGTTGACGAGACAGGGACGCGGACGGAAGGAGACGGACGGGGGTGGGGTGCCACCCCGGGAAAAGACTCTCTCTCTGTCGCACCCACACAACACACACAACACACACAGTGTGTGAACACAGTGCACGTCTGTCTACATCTACCGGTCGCGACCTGCCGCGGCCATCTCTCTCGCCGCGCTCGGTCTCACTCCACCCGTCTTTTCTCTCCGTGTTGTCGCTCTCTCGTGCTCCGGAAATTTGGTTTCTTTTCTCTTCTTGTTGTTGTTCTTCTGGTTTCCTCTCATTTCTGTTATGTGTCTCCCGCACTGGTAATCTACATTATGCGTGCGTGTTGCACGCATTCTAAGAGTACCATCCCGAACAGCCGTGGATTTGTGTGAACCGTCCGTGGACTCTTGCAAGCGCTCCAGCTCCTTCAGCTTGGCGCATGAAGGCTGCTGGCCTGCGTATATGTGCGTACCCCTTGCAACAGTGACAAGCGAGTTCGCATGCGTCTCTATACCGGATGCTTTCGTATCGGAGTTATCGTCCTGGCACTCGTCCTCACCTTGAGTGTCCGTTGACGACTCTCCTTTCTTCTCCGCCGTTGGTGCCTGTCCCGATGGTGCGCTGTCCGGTGGTGGAGGTGGGGGTGGTTGTTGTCCCGGTCCTGGTCCTTGACCTGGTGTACCTGATCCGTCTGCCCCTGCAGGCGGTGCCGCAGGTGGGGGTTGTGGTGGGGATCCCGTAGCCCGTGGTGTATCTGAGACTCCCTGATCTGACCTTCCCCTGTCCCCTGCTGTCCCTGATGCTGGTGCCTCTGCTGGTTTCAATGTTGAAGATGGCGATTCTGACGTTTTCTGGTCTTTATTGTCTTTATTTTTCCCGTTAGCGCTCTTAGCTGCCTGCTTGCTGTTGTCCGTCTCTGCAAGGGCGAGGACGAAAGATGAAGAGAGAGTTGTTAAAACCAGGATGGATGAACAAAGAACGGAAGGAAGGCGGGTGGTCGGTGAGGGGGTGTAGGGTGCGGTTCGATGGATGGGTCGGCTGCATGGTGTAGAACACTTCTATGTTGTTGTCGCCGTCATCTCGTCGTGCGGTACCTCCCGCCGCACATACACAGACCTCGTCTACACAGTGGCCGCTGCTGCTCGCTCAACGTCAACGAAGTGTTTTTGTTGCGCCGCGTGCATATTGTGGCCGTTGTATCGGCTTGCATATTAGCCAGTACAGATGCGGTCGTAGGTTCGTATTTGGCCGTGTTCTTACCACTCGGCTGCCTTACTATGCTTACCATCCGCATTCTTCACTTCTGGAACATCTTGCTGTTCTTTCTTCTTCGCGTCGTTAATTATCCTCTTTGCTGCGTCCTTTATATGTGCCTCTGCTGTCTGCACCTTCTCTATTATCTGGGTTACTGCTGCTGTCATCTTCCCCTGTGCTTCCTTTATCTTGTTCTTGCCTTCTTCGGTCAAACTGTCTTTGATAGTGTTGCCGTGTGTGGCCCCGTCCTTAAGATACTTTTTCCACGTCGTATTACATGGCATGGCATCTTGCATTTGTGCTATTTCAGCACTTATGTTTCCATGCTCCAATAACCATTGTGCTATCGCCAAATTTATTGCTGTGATGTGCCTGTGATAGCCCGTATACCCACATGGTGTACACTTCCCAGCCACAACGGGACCCGTGGGTCCTGCTCCTCCGTTCTGAGTTTTCCCCATTTCGGTCATTGTGTTCCAAGCATACTCTATACCTCTATACCATGTTTGCCTGCCTTTGCAGTACATATCTTTCAGTAAATGCCCAAAAACATGAACCACTTCACATCTTAGTCTCTCGTACATTTCTTTATCGTCTTCACTCCTTTTGTCCCATTCGTCCATATCGATCCCTAAGCCGTTCGCAAACCACAATGCTCCTGACATTAGCCTACATCTCATCATATCCGCCACCGTTTGCCCCGTATGGTGTTCACCTGTATTGAAATCATTCCAACCTGTATTTTCACAGTTGGCACCCCATACTTCAAAGTTCTCATTATTTTCCTTCAAATATTCAATAAACTCCTGCAACACGTCCTTCACCTTGGTCCATTGATCTTCCTACATGTTTTGCACGAACACGGAGAAGAGTACCCATGTGCCCATTGCATGAACACACTTCGCTCCTGAGTTCATGCATATCCTCATATGTATGCATGTAACGGTATAGATAAAAGAGTCGTTCCTCTTCTATTTGCCCTAGTCATGTTTCTGTGCACTGCCTCCACACCTCCTTTTTTAACTTACATCATTAGGGAGCACCACGTACACTGGCTTAGGCGTCCACTCCAATATTTTCGCCCCTGGACATGTCGTCCCTTGGGTTTGCCCAGTACCTCCTTGAGCAGCACCACCACCACCAGATGATGTCGTCGTCGTTGCACCCGGTGCCTTCTCCGGTGTCACCGCTACTGCTTGTCCGTCTGTCCCGGGTGGTTTGGCTGGTACTGGTTTGGCCGGGGCGGGTTTGTCGGTGGCCTTTGTGTCGGATGTTCCTACCGCTGGTAACCCTGCTGTGCCTACTCCTGGCGATGACGGTTCTGCGGCTGGTCTCGATGGCCTCGGTGGTCTCGGCGGTCTTGGTGCTGGTGCCGGTCGTGGCCGCGGCTTCGGGGGTGGTGCAGGTGGTGTGACGCCGGTTACCTTAGGTGGATTCACTTTGTTCTCCAGTTGCTTAACCTTTGTCTGTATCTGTTTCTGTATATCACATTTGCCCTTGGATTGCCCGGGTTTTTGCATGTCCTGTAGCACGTGCTTGACTTGCGGAAAGTTGTCTCCGGCGTCCACCCAGGCCTTTATTTGCTTTATGAGCTCATGGTCCTCCTGTAGTACGCCCTCATGCTCATTACAATTCGCTTCACTTGGCTGCAGCTGCGCATCATTCTGATCTGTATGGTGCCATCCACATTTTCCTGATCCTGTGCGTGCACTGCGCGCTGTCCCTGCCACCCATGTGGCGCGCAACTGTTCTAGTCGGTTCTTTAAGGCCATTCCCATGCTCTTTGATTGGAATATGACCTTCCCCCAATCTCTGTTTTCGCACAATCCACGTTGAGGGTGGTCGCCCAATAAAGTGTTCGATTTTCCTAACTTATCGGACACCTCTGCTATAACTTTCTGAAGCTCCTTATTGCGTCCATACAGTCTTAATAAAACCTCACTTCCTACTATGCACTGTAAATATTCCCTAAAGTTGTCCCCAGTCATTTCGGAGAATTCCCTGTGTGTCCATTTTCCCTGTGTATAATCATACCCTTTGATGTATAGCAGAATTTTCGTAATCTCCTGACATCTGGTCTTGCATAATCCCTCACCAGCTTTATTATATATACTTCCGCAGAAGCCCATGATGTCGCCGGTGCCCGCGCCAATTCTGCTGAGTAACTCATTGAATATGTCATCAACCTCCTGGAGCAACCTTTCCTGTAGGTGGAATAATTCATACATGCATGTACAGGGCGTACGTCGCCTTAGTCTGTATTGAACTGCACTGCCACACGCGTCCTTGTGTGATGTGTGCAGTGCGCGCGTGTTGTGTTGCCGTTGCCGTCTAAATACCTCACTCACTTGCAGGATACGTGTATAAACAGTTCGTGAGCACTTGTTCTTCTGCATTTGCTAGGTATACATACGCCTTGCCTGCACAAATGTATTATTGCCGCGCTGTGTCTGAACTTCCTGTATAGTTTGACTTACCCAATATGTCCGTGCGTCGGTTATGTTCCTGGTCCGTAGAAACGCGTCCCATGCCCGTAGAAAATACAGTATGTCGTCTGCAAAAAGCGGAGCCATATTGAAACACTTTATTCCCTTCTTAAAAACAAAAGTACGACTACTACTACACACCGCTCAATAACAACAACAAAAAAAAACAAAATATACACACACACCGTCTCCGTCAACGCTTCTCCCGTCAACGCCTCTCCGTCACCCCGTTCTCCGTCAGCGCCGCTCCCGTCACGCTTCTCTGTCACCCCGTCTCCGTCAACGCTCTCTCCGTCACCGCCTTCTCCGTCAACGCCGCTCCTGTCACACCCCGTTGTCCGTCAACGCCTCTTCCGTCAACTCCGTCTCCGTCACCGCGTTCTCCGTCAACGCCTCTTCCGTCAATGCTTCTCCCGTCAACGCCTCTCCGTCACGTCTCTTCGTCAATGCCCCTCCGTCACCCCTTCTTCGTCAACGCTTCTCCCGTCAACGCCTCTCCGTCACCCCGTCTCCGTGTAAGATTCTCCGTCAACACCGTCTCCCGTCAACGCTTCTCCGGCAACGCTTCCGGCACGCGGCTACGGCGTCGAATCGCTTCACTCGGACAGTCGTGTTTACGCGACCGAGTGTAAGAACGAGGACGATTGTCTCTCCGAGCACACGCGGCTTGACGACGTGGCCGAGTGTAACAACGATTCGACGTAGTAGCCGAGTAAGCATTGTGCCGAGGGTAAGAAAGGAGGGAGACATTGTCTCTCCGAGCAAACGCGTCGACCAAAGCGGCCAAGTGAAAGACGGCTTCGACCAAGGATTGTCCGAGTGTAAGAAGGAGGAGGATTGTCTCTCCGAGCACACGCGTCGACCAACGCGGCCGAGTGTAAGAAGGATTCGACGAAGTGGCCGAGTATAAGAAGGAGGCAGATTGTGTCTCCGAGCAACCGCGTCGACCAACGCGGCCAAGTGTCACACGGATACGACGACGGATTGTCCGAGTGTAACAAGGAGGAGCATTCTCTCGTCGAGCAAACGCGGCCCGGGTAAAGCGGATTGTTCGAGTAAACGATTCGACGGATTGTCCGAGTGTAAGAAGGAGGAGATTGTCTCTCCGAGCAACGCATCGGTCCGAGTGCAAGACGGATTCGACGAAGTAGCCGCGTGTAACAAGGACGAGAGATTGTCTCTCCGAGCATACGATCGGTCCGAGTGTAAGAGCGATTCGACAACGTAGCCGAGTGTAAGAACGGAGGGAGAGATTGTGTCTCCGACCAAACGCGGCCCGGGTAAAGCACATTGTCGCCGAGTGTAACAACGAGAGATTTTCCGAGGCCGGATCCAGAAACGGGGGCAACCAAGGAGTACACATATTATGTGGGGGCGCACACAAGGGCGGCGAAGAAGGCGACAACGACGGCAGCAACAACGGCAGAAGCAGTTGATGTTGTTACTGCGGTTTTTTTGTGTACGCACACAAGCACAGTGTGTGTGACAGGCGTTTCGTGGAGACCGGTGTAGCATGGCGTATTCATGACGTTGTGTAGTGTTTTTTCTATTTTTTGTTTGTTTCAATAATGTGGATTATGTTGTTACAAATTGGAAGAAGTGTAAAGTGAGATTATGGCAACTATTTTGTAAAAGCAAATATTTTTAAAAGTATCATATTCTTAGCATAATCATAATACTGGGTACGGTTCATTCTATGCAGTAGCCCTTATTCAGTTCGAGTGATGTGGATGTCTCCCAAGTATAGGCGTAATATTTGTATTTGGGTATTATAGTATCATGGCAAGTAATAAAGGAAATGTGGCACATTTCACACAGCAGCTTAGGAAATGGTTCCAACGAAGAAACATGAGCTCGCACACAGACTACAGTGTAAGAGGCAAGCGCAGAGGGCGAGGGAGAGGGAGCGCCAGAGGTACAGTCACACAACGGAATATAGGGGTATATGCATTCGCACCTAAAAACTGAGCGAGAATCATAGGCGAACGTGGTATATGTGGTAATAAACATATTATATTCCTATATCTGCAGGAGAAAATATGGAAAGATATACACGATCTTTTCCAAGTGTTAGCCACAAGTATAAACAGTACGAATCCTTTCACCGAAGCAGTGTGCAAAACAGCATTCCCACGTAAGCTATTTCGCCACCATATGGCGTACGTCGTTGTATGCCGGCGTATTGTAAACATATTTCTATTTATGGATGGACTACATTATACAAATAGGAATGAAGCATGGACAAAGAGATATATATTTCAGGATGAGCAGAGGCTCGAAGAATATCTTAGATGTATGCTAGGGAATGTCGCTCTATTACAGCTGTACGGGGACAACTGTGAACACATAGAAGTTGTACGCACGGTATCCACGAGTATGGACCCGTTAAGGGCAGCGTTTAGCAATATGGACATTAGTAAAACGTGTGAAAAAATGAATTATCGTAGTATGAAGATTGGTACTAAACTTATAGGGTTGACCATGGCACGATGGATGGAAAAACTACAGGGAAGGGGGAAGGTAGGAAGTATAAAAAGCAGCCACGACGCCAGAACATGTAACCAGGGAAATGGCATGAACACACAACAGGCTACTGCAACCGGAGTTCGGCAGCACGCCACTATGCCAATTGTAGAAATGATGGACGATGGTACTACGGACGTAGTAAAGACATTAATTGAGAAGGGCAAGAGTATAACACAGAAAGAGACAAAGACAATAATGAACATAATTGCGGCACGTGGGAACGGTACGGACGTGGTGGAGGAAATTTTACAGAAAATAGAAGCATCTGACACAGGCGAAAGTATAGCGGATATATTGGACAAGGTGATAAATCCACCACCCGTCGCCACATTTATCCCTGAAAATCCAGCAGATACAGCCACGCCGGCAATACCACAGGCACCGTCAGGTAAGGACCGATGAGAGAAAGCACCAATACGGCACGCTCTCTACGTACCGTACGACTGCGCACGGATGGATGCCACCAACAACACACGCACACGCGGCGGAACAGCACCACACTTCGTTGACGTTGATCGGCCATGACGGGCGCGACGAGCGTACCGTTCGCAGCGTTGGCCACTGTGTAGACGAGTGCAGACGAGGTGTGTGTTTGCGGCGGCCATGACGGCACCGGAGAGACAATCTCTCCGTCCTTTCTTACACTCGGGCAATCCTTCGTCGAATGCCCTTACTCGGACAATCTGGTTTACCCGGCGGCGTTTGCGCGGAGAGACAATGTCTCCCTCCTTTCTTACACGCGGCTGCGTCCTCGGACAATCCCCTATATGCGGTCGCGCTTGCTCGGAGAAACAATCGCTCCGCCTTTGTTACATTCGGACAATCCGTCGTCGAATTGTGGTTACACTCGGCCGCTTTGGTCGACGCGTTTGCTCGGAGAGACAAGGTCTCCCTCCTTTCTTGCCCTCGGCACAACTCTTACTCGGCTACTTCGTCGAATCCGTCTTGCACTTGGCCGCGGTTGCTCGACGAGAGAATGCTCCTCCTTCTTACACTCGGTCACGTGTGGTCGGCTACTTCGTCGAATCCTTCTTGCACTCGGCCACGTGTGCTCGGAGACCATGGTCCTCCTTCGTGCACGCGGCCGCGTTGCACGACGCGTTTGCTTGGAGAGACAATCGTCCTCCTTCTTAGGCTCGGACAATCCGTCGTCGAATCGTTGTTACAATCGGGCGCGTGTGCTCGGAGAGACAATCTCTCCTCCTTCTTGCACTCGGCTACTTCGTCGAATCGTTGTTACAATCGGCCGCGTTTGCTAGGAGACCATGTCTCCCTCCGTTCTTACACTCGGCTACTTCGTCGAATCCGTTCACTCGGAGACAATACTCCTCCTTTCTTACACTCGGCCGCGTTACTCGGCTAAGTCGTCGACAATGTGCTTTACCCGGCCACGTTTGCTCGGAGAGACAATGTGTACGTGCTTGCACGTGGCCGCGTTGCTCGACGAGTTTGCTCAGCGAAACAATCCTCCTCCTTCTTGCACTCGGCTACTGCGTCGAATCCTTCGTACACTCGACCGCGTTGGCTCGGAGAGACAATCCCCCGCCTTTCTTACACTCGGACAATCCGTCGTCGAATCCGTGTTACACTTGGCCACGTCGTCGAACCGCGTTTGCTCGGAGAGACAATCTCTCCCTCCTTGTTGCACTCGGCTACTTCCTCGGACAATCGCGTTTACCCGGCCGCGTTTGCTCGGAGAGACAATGTCTCCCTCCCTCCTTACACGCGGCGGCAATGTGCTTTAGCCGGCCGCTTTGGTCGACGCGTGTGCGCGGAGAGACAATGTGTACCTTCTTACACTCGACGACAGTGCTCTACGCGGCCGCGTTTGCGCGGAGACGATCACCTTATACTCGAATGCGTAGTCGCATTCTATATTAGTTGTACACTATACCCTTAGAATGCGCGTGCGCAGCTTTTAATAATTAACTTCACATAAAGGAGAATACTACCCCTTCATATTATTCATGTAAATCTACGTTTTATATGCATGTAACCGGTACCACCCTGTCCCCATGGTCGTGTTAAAAGAAGTGGACTACACAGAAAAAGAACAAAACAATGCAAAAGTAAGCACAAGCAGAACAGAGCAGAAAAAAAAAAAAGAACGTATAGAATAATGCAAACACGAAATATATTATGTATATCACATAATGCAGTACAAGTGGTCTAATGTTAGCATGCGTTATTGCCCATGCATTTGCCCCGTCATCCGAATGTCACAGTTGCTCCAATAGGTCATCCACACATAACTCCTTCTCCTGCAAACTGCGTTCGACTTCGCACTGTTCTATGACTAATGCCAGGATCAGTATCCATATTTTAGCCGTTAACGGTTTTTTCATGTACAGGTGCTGATGCAGTTGCGTGCGTGGTGCATTTTGCATGCGTAGCATATGTTCTGTTGCCATTACTTTTTCCACTTCTAAGTCGTTGTCGACTGCAGGTACGGCGCCTTTTGGCGATACTGCCGCCGCGTGTACATTATTCAACAAATGTTGAAACCACTCCTCCGGGCCATACATACAAATTTGCCGATGTTGCTGTGCAACCCATTCTTTCCATGCTTCCAATTTCTTGCTTTCCGTGTATGGGATATTACCGGGCGCACCGCGTGCACGCTGCCCGTTGTCGTCGTTTTCCGCCATGTGATCGCGCAGGTATTGTTTCCAATCCGCTGTTAATTGCAAAAACCACGGCTGCGTCGTGCACTCCTGCAATAGGAGCTTGTTGCAGTCAATCCAGTTAATCCATTGGGTGCAGTACAACGTGTCGTCACCGTGGTCGGAATGAGCATTCTGTTCTGCTTCGGTATCTATGTTTTCCATACAACTCCATGCATCGGGGTGCTCTTCGGTAGGTGAACCAGGGTCCGTTTCTAACTGTATGGTTTCCATACAACTGCATGGATCGCAGGCATGAGGTCCACAAGGGTCCGCTGCTAACCGTATGTTTTCCATACAACTCCATGGATCATCTTCGTTAGGTACACAAGGGTCCGTCTCGTCGGAGTCAGTGGATGGATTGAGGATGGAGGAAACATTGTTCCGTGATAAATCCTGGTTTGTGCTAGGAGTATCCGGGAAACTACTGTGCCCCTTTGCGTCCTGCTGCAAGTCTCGCGCACACTCCTGCACGACAATCTTCCAATAGTCGTCTTTCACCGTTTCCCATGCGGCCGCTTCACATTCGTTGAGCACTTCTAGATGTAGCTCGATAATCGTTCGCCTATGCACGCGTGGATGACGTCGTCGTCGGTCGGATGTTGACGCAGGTTGCCTATCCGTAAGCATGGTGTACCCGTAATCGGGTGGTGGCGCGCCGCGTTGTAGATGCTCCAATATTTCTTCGTCGAGTGGCGGTGACGGCACGTTACGAACGGTGCGATATGTTCGTCGTCGTTGTTTTCCGAGGTGCGCAAAGTACTAAGCAGAAAAAGGGGGGTAAATAGGAGGGTGAGGACGGTAGGAAAAAAGGAATGAATACGGGTGTAGGGGCATATGGGTTCAAACGATCATATATTGGAGCCCGTAGGGAGTTTCTGAGGTATAAACATCCTGCACATGCGGGATTCCGTGATTGCCGTATATACTTACCTTCCATAGGAAAAACGCAATGACCCCAATACCAACCACCGCTGGAATGATCGCGGGGGTGTATGGCTTTACATTTTCCCATGTTAGGCCGGGCGGAACGTAAGGGGTTGCAGGGGTAGGAGCGTCCCATCCAGCATCACTACTACCACGCGTACCACCACCAACTGCACCACCTGGTCCACCATGCGTGGGACCGCCCCCACCGGCCGTTCCTTCCCCACCAGAAACTCCATCCGCCAAATCAGCATCACTGAAACTGCCACTACTACCGGATTGATCTGGGTTCGGGTTCGGTTTGGGTGGATTGAGAGGAGGGGGGTCATCGTTACCGCCGTCAACGGTGTTCGGTTCGGCGGGGTTTGCTGCACCATCTTTACCTGCTGGACCGGAAGGACCGGTTTCACCGTCCTGCGCTGGTGAACCTTCAGCACCTGTTGTACCCGTCGCACCGGATGCACCTGAGGGAGCCTTTGGTGTTGGTGCCGAGGATGCTGGTGTCCCAACTCCTGGTCCCGTGTCTGAAACTGGTTCTTGTGAATCCTTGTGTTTCGTGTCCTCCGAAGTACCACGACCTAGAAGTTGGGATGAGAAGAAGTATATGCATGAAACTGAAGTCATGTGTCGGACGGTTGACCACGATTGTGGGTGGGTCACACGGTCGGCACCATTGGTGCCACGGGGACGGAGGGGACGGCGGTAGGGTGCCACGGGGGGACGGTGCCACTGCGGGAAAAGACTCTCTCTGTCTCCCACACAACACACACAACACACACAGTGTGTGTGTCGTCTACGTCGACGTGTACCTCTACCGGCCGCTACCTGCCGCGGGCGACCCATCGCTCTGCGTCCCGCTCATTTTCATTCGACGTTTGGTTTCTCGCGCTCCGCGGTGTCTCTCCCGCTGTGTCCGGAAAATTTTGGTTTGTGTTTTGTATTTTGCAATGACCGCTGTAGAGTGCCTACGTACGATGTGCACCCCGTGGTGCCCCACCTACTCCGGATGCACACCTGTGGCAGGTACCTGTAGTATCTATGGCGTTCTTGGGACCCGAGTGTAAATCGCGTTGTTTTTTGTCTAGTTCCTCCAGTTCCCTAATGTTAGCACACGTAAGTGCCCCCTCATACGTGTACGAAACCGGCGTAATACGCACGTTGGACGTCTCATAGGATATGGGGCTGGAGGCTGTATTACGGGAATTTTCCTCCGGGCACTTGGTCTCACCTGTGGGGTCGTCCGGTTGACCTTTTGTTGTCTGCGTATCCTTGGAGATTGCAGTCTTCTCCGTCGTCGTATCTAGTACGTCGTTCCCTGCGCCTGTTCCTTCTGCTGGTGGTGGTGCCGGTGGCAGCGGCCGTGATGGCGGTGGTGTTTCCACAACGTCCTCTGATCTTCCTCCTGATGGCGGCGCCGGTCCCGCGGGTGCAGATCCGGGGTCTGCCGGTGTTCTGGATGAGGATGTTGTCGTCGCTCTCCCTTCTGATGATGGTGTTGTTGGTACATCCGGTGACTTCCCGTTCACGGCCGCAGTTTCCGGAGGGGTTTCATTCTTGTTCGTTGCTTCTTCCTGTTCTTTGTCTAATACATTCTTCACACAGGCCGAATCCCCAGTAGTACAATGTTCTATTCGCTTTAATATTTTTTGCACGTTCTCTTTTATCTCCTGCTCCACATGCTTTATTTCATCCTGCACTTTCTTCTTCAACTCACCCACGTGTTCATCCTTTCCGCCCTTTCTGGGTTGTTTTTGTACCATGCAACCTTCCCCCAATATTCCTGTGTCCCCATCATTTATTTTCTGCATATTCCTAGTAAACCATCTGTCCGTTATTTGCCAGAAATCCCTATCTTTCGCACTAATTCCCTTCTGACCTCCCTCCCCTGCATCCTTCCGCTCACACTCTATATTACCCACATCCTTCGCTCCCAAATTTGTGAAAATCCCATGCGCTACACCACATGCCCATTTCCCACCAGGTGTCTGTAAACATTTTTTGCCTATTATTTTCTTCATAAATATATTTACTAAGATACACCGGACATAAGCTTCCATGTCTTCCATGTTACGCACCACAGCGCCCGTAGTGCCTGGATCCACACCTGACCTCTTGGTCTGGATGTTATGCTTAAAATGTAATGCTATAAGTGTTAATTCACACAAATCCTTGTTCGCCTGATCCAAGTCATCCCCAGTGTCCGGGTCCTGCCAAGCTGCACATGATGTTTGCATTGTACGCCCCTGTTCTTCCTGTTCCATATATTGCCTAAAGTCCTTCCATACTTTTTCTACCGTGCCCCATAAGTTTTCCTATAAATGTTATATTCATTATATATTCCTATATTAGCTACATTCCTGTGCTCGATTATCTGTCCGCATTTATTCTTACGCATAACTGTACATCTGCCCCCATAAATATATGTCCCCGCGGAACCACAGAAATTATAGTAAGCGGCAACATGAACAAAGGGACCACTGTGATGCATTCTCCGGCTGTATCCTAATAATGTGGCACAATACTACTGAGGAACTGTACCCACTGTGCAATATAGACCAACTTACCCCAATTTTCACAATGTCCTGCCTGTCCTGTAGCCCAACGTTCCCAGTCTTAATATAATCATCCCATAGTACTATTAAGTAGTTCCACATGGCTTCCCCCGTTGTTTCTTCTTATACAGGATGACACTCTGCTCGATATATATTCAAAGACCACATTAATTGAACATTATAATTAGGAATCACATTCCTATATTTGGAACTTCTAGTCCTGCATACTTAAAATGCTGTCCGCCTTCTGCATTAAAATCATTAACCACAATACTCCCCTTAAAAACAAATACCCCCCTTAACAGCAACACCCCGTTCTACACTAAACCGCAGTAATAACAACAACATCAATTCGTCCTTCTGCGTCCTGCCGTCCTTTCCTCGTTCTTCCTTCGCACATAATAAGTGTGTTCCTGGTCCTCTCCCGCTGTGTGCGATCCCGCTCTCTGTGATCCCCCTTTCTCTGGATGCTCTACTCGAACAAACCTTACCCGGCCACTTCGTCGAACTGCTTCACGCGGACAATCGGTTTACGCGTCCACGTTTGCTCGTAGAGACAATCTGTCGTCCTTGTTACACTCGGCTACTTCGTCGAATCGGTCTTGCACTGGGCCGCTTTGGTCGACGCGTGTGCTCGGCGAGACAATCTGTCCTCCGTACTTACACTCGACGACAATCCCGTTTACCCGGCCACGTTTGCGCGGAGAGACAATCTCTCCGTATAGTCGAATGCGTATTCGCAGGCTATATGTGTTCTGCACTATACCCGTAGCATGCACGTGCGCATCTGTTAATAATTAACGGCACACAAAGGAGAATACTACCCGTTCATATTATGCATGTAAATCTACATTTTATATGCATTTAACCGGTACCACCCTGTCCCCATGGTCATGTTAAAAGAAGTTGACTACATAACAAGAAACAAACAAAAGCAAAAGTAAGCACAAGCAGAAGAGAGCAGAACAAAAAAAAAGAAGGTATAGGATAATGTAAAATAGAATTATACTGTGTATGTCTAATAAGGGAGAACAGGCAGGTACGGTTATCAGGTCTCCCTATGTACATTCCTGAATACCCCTGACGTCATCCTAATTGCAGAGCTTTTCCAATAGGTCATGCACATATAACTCCTTCTCCTGCATACTTCTCTCGATTTCACATTGTTCGATTACGGACACGAGAAGGAGCATCCACAATTTGGCAATGAAGTGTTTCTTTGTATGTGGGTCCTGATGTAGTGGTTGCGGCCGTGGTACATCTCTCACTCTTAGTATATGTTCTGCTGCCGTGACTTGTTCCACTTCTAAGTGTTGTGCTACTCGTGGTACCTCGCCTTTTGCCGGTACTGTCTCCTCCTGTGCAGTATGCAACAAATGCTTAAACCACTCTTCATCACCATATATATGCATAAGCGCATGTTGCTGTGCGACCCATGCCTTCCATGCATCCAATTTCTTCCGGTGCATGGTTGCGGCTTTCCTGTGCCCGTATACTCCGTTGTGTTCGTTTGTCGCCATGTGCTGACGCTGGTATTGTTTCCAATGCGCTTTTAATTGCAAAAACCGCGGCTGCGTCGTGCTCTGCCGCAATAGGTGCTTGTTGCGGTCAATCCAGTTAATCCAATTAGTGTGGTCGGGGGTCAGGTTTGCATTCCTGGGGTCGGAAGAGGAGGGAGAGGGCGAATGAGTCCCTTCGTGTTCTAACTGTATGGTTTCCATACAACTCCATGGATCGGGGTCCTCTGCATTAGGTGGAGAAGTGTCCGTGGCTAACTGTATGGTTTCCATACAATTCCATGGATCGGGGTCATGTGGGGGACAAGGGCCCGTTTCTAACTGTATGGTTTCCATACAATTCCATGGATCGGGGTCCTCTTCATTCGGTGCACAACGGTCCCGTGCTAACGGTATAGTTTCCATACAACTCCAGGGATCATCTGCGTTAGGCGGAGCACGCTACCGTGCTAACAGTATGTTTTCCATACCACTCCATGGATCGGGGTCATGTGGTGGACAAGTGTCCGTTTCTAACTGTATGTTTTCCATACGATTGCATCGGTCCTCTGCATTAGGTGCAGAACGGTCCCTTTCTAACTGTATGGTTTCCATACAACTCCATGGATCGGGGTCATGTGGTGGACATGGATGTATGCCGTCGATGTCAGTGGGTGGAGCGCGGGTTGTCGAATCGTGGGTTGCTAAAGCGGCGTGTGAGGTAGAAACACCCAAGATATTGTTATTCGTGTCCACGTCCTGCTGCAAGTCCTGCGCAAACTCCTGTGCAAACTCGTGCACTACAATCTGCAAATAGTCGTCTTTGACATTTTCCCACTCGGTCGCTTCACATTCGTTGAGCACTTCTAAGTGTAGCTCGATAATGGTGCCCGTATGCACGCGTGGTGAGCGTTGTCCGCGGCGGTCGGCAGCAGATGCGGCCCGCGTATCCCTAACCATGGTGTACCCGTAATCGGGTGGTGGCAGTTCGCCGCGTTGTAGATGCTCCAATATTTCTTCGTCGAGTGGCGGTGACGGCACGTCACGAACGGTTCGATATGCTCGTCGTCGTGGTTGTCCGAGGTACGCAAAGTACTAAGCACAAAAAGGGGGTAAAGAGGAGGGTGGGCACGGTAGGATAAAAGGAATGAACACGGGTGTAGGAGTATAGTGGTTAGAAAGATCATATATTGGAGCCGGTTGTGATGTTCTGAAGTATAAACATCCTGCACATGCGGGATTCCGTGATTGCCATATATACTTACCTGCCAAAGGGAATAACCAAGAAGGGCGACGGTGACGGAAGTGAGAAAAAACAGCACGGGAGTAGTGGCGGTAAGGACGTCGGCGGTTAGGTCGGGTCCATCTGGGCCCCCGCTCCCCGTACCTACGTTTGTATTTGATGGGGAGGATGCTTTATGTTCTGGGTACGGGGGTGCAAATCCTCCAGATACAGTATCTATGCCGGGTATATGTCCTGGTGATATTTCCAGGACACATGGTCGGGTCCCTGCAGAATTCTCAGAAGGGTTACATTGTCGCTGATTTGGGTCGACAGAGTCGGAAGGTTGCTGTCCAGTAGTGCCACTCACGGGGGAGGCCGCGGCAGCGGGTGCCTGTGATCCGGTTTCGTTCTTTTTTTCCCATGGAAACTGTGTTCCATCCCAATCAGGGTGGAACATTTCGGAGCCATCGGAAGTATCCTCTTTTTGTATGACCCGAGGCACAATACTGTTTTCCCCGGAGGGGTGTGAAGTACCTGAGCATGATCCGTCAGTCGGTAAGTTGTCCCCTTTTCCCTGTTCATCCGCCTGCCTAGACGGCTCAGGTGGGCTATCGGCTCCTTTTGTTCCTTTTCCGCTTCCGTGTTCATTCGCATCAGCATCCTTCTTCTTATCCTCAACGTTAGGTTGTGTGCCAATGTTCGTTTTACTGTCTGTTCCCGGAGTTCCTGAATGGAAGTATAAGGACGAATGAAGACGATGAAACCGAATTTATGTTTCGGATCGTTGACCACGGTGCCCGTCGATCGCGTCGTGTCACGGTTGCCCACATGGTGCCACGGGGGACGGCGGAGCAGGACACGCACGGACGCAGAGACGGGCCGGGGCAGGAGACGGACGGAAGGAGAGACTCGGGGTGGAAGGTGCCACTCCGGGGAAAAGACACTCTCTCTGTGTCCCGCACACAACACACAACACAGACAACACACAGTATGTGTGCGTGTCTGTCTGTCGACGTCTACCTGTCGACGTCTACTCACCCGCGGCCGACCCGTCGCTGTCGCTCTGCCGCTTGCATTCTCATTCGACGTTTGGTTTCTCTCGCGCCCTCTGCGTGTTGTCTCTCCCTGCCTCTCCGGAAATTGTTGTTTCGGTGTTTTTGTTTTTTGTTCATTTTTTTGCCTCCATGCGCTGTGGCACTGCTGTACTCACTGTTGTAGAGTGATGTACTCTGGGTCTGTCAACCTATACCTGAACACTCGGATGAGGGAGAGGAGCTGCCGAAACTAACTTGTACGATTACGCGATTCCCGTCATGCGTGCTCTCCGTAGTTTCTGAAGTAGGGGAACATGTTGACTTTGTGGCCTTACCTGTAGTTTTGTCGGTCTGGGCATTGGTAGTAGTCCCTGCTGGTGGATGAGCCCCAGAGTGTGGTGTTTGTGCTGATGTTGGTGTGGATGACGGTGCCGCCGGTGTGGACGGCGGTGCGGACGGTGCTGCTACTGGTGGTGCAATATCTTGTGGAGTCTCTGCGCGTGCAAGTCCCGCTCCCCCTGCGCCACCTGTTGTTTGTGGTGGTGTCTGTACGTCTGACTTCTCCTCCTTCTTTTTTGTTTTGTCCGCATTACTTCCTGACGCCGCCTTGTCTTCCTTGTCCTTCGCTGCAAGTGAACAAAGGAAGAAAAACGACAAAATGATACAACAAAAGGGACACAAAGTGGTAGACAGAAAGAAGGGGGCCGGGACGGTTCGATCAGGTAGCGGCATGGTAGGTCGCCTGCATGGATCGAGTGGACGCGGTGGACTGCGAACTCGGTGAACTGGGGGTAGATGCTAGTAGTACACTTGTATTTTTCGCCTTCCGCGACCGCTGCCGTGGCCACTCATCTCCGGCCGCTCCGCAACCGCTACCACTGTCATCGTCGCCTCGTGTGCGTGTTTGTGGCCATTGCGTTGTTGTGGTGGCATCCATATTGAGCAATTCGGTACGTAGCGGGTCGTATTCGTATTGCCCGTATTAGGAGCACTCTGTCGCTTTACTGTTCTTACCATTCGCGTCGTCCTCCTGTTCTGCATCCGCATCATCATCATCGTCGTCTTCCCCGTCATCGTTGTCGTCCTCCGGGTTTGCGCTGTATGCTCCCTCGCCCCTTAATTCTCTCACTGTCTCCTTGACCCCCTCTTTAACCTGCCCTAATATATCTTTCAGTCCTTCTTTTAATTTCTTCTCTATATGTTCTTCTATAACCGTACGCGTCGTGTTAGCATCGCTCCGTGCCCCTTTTGTACTCTTACGATTGTCCGCCCTTGCATCCTTCTTACACTCTTCAGTTATTTCGCTGCCACCTAGTTTCTGTAATGTCTCTGCCTCTTTCTTGAACCATTCATGAATCACTTGACGCATTGACCATTTTCCCCTCTTAACATCCTCAAACTCTCCGTGCCGACAAGTTCCTTGTTCCACCGCATTGTTGGGTAATCCCCACGTAAGATTCTGCATTGCATACCACGCATAATATGTACCCCAGTTCGTGCCACATTTCGATTCATCCAATATATATGTGAACATATTTACTATTGCACACGTGATGTACTGCCTGAGTTCTTCCTCACCCGAAAATGTCCGTTCCTGGCCAGGTAAATTTCTTCCCCACCCGTTCAAAAAATACAGTGCCCCTGTCATAAGTCTGCACTTAACTCTTTCCCCTGTGTTGTTCATCCGCCTTGGTACTTGTTCTGGCTTCCCATGTTCGCTGGGATGTTGCCAATACTCATTGTCGCAGGCTTTGGCATACGAGTCTAAATCCATCTCCATCATGGCCGTCATAAATTGTTCCAGCAGCGACACAATGTCTTGCTCTAAAAATTGCTACAATTAACAGCAGATGCATATACATGTAGTACCCGTCTACATGAACTTGTCCCCCGCGGGGCGTTAGCGAATAACTACTACACTATTCATGCCGTTCATATATGCTCCCTAGTAGCAGCATCACACCGATTCATGACGCCCGTGCATATGTGGTTCACGCATATCTCTACTCAGTGTCCTACGTGTACACATAACCGCATTTATGCTCCCTGGCCACGCGGTAATCATAATGCCTTACCTGATATGTTTCGCTCGACATGTAAGCTCCGCGCCGCTCGACATACTCCGCCAGTAACTCCCCTAACTTTCTAGCCGACATAGTGTGTCTCCCTCGGTAAGTAACAACGCTGCAATGTGCACTGCTGCCCTAATGTTCTATATGAAATATATTAAGCATTATGTGGCCCATCTACACCTGCCGCCTATTTGCCCCGTTTACTACGTAATAGGACTGGCTGCGGTTATCAAGTAACAGTAGAAATCTATACATAATAAAAACCTTCATGTGGCCCTGCTCCGCAAGCGCATTGTTCCACTACTAATAAATCATGTAGGACCTATATATAGGTAACAAGGGAAAATAAGACATATGTAAGAAGAATAAAAAGAAAAGAAAAAAGAATAAAAATAAAAAAAATAAAAAAAGAGCACAAAGAAAAGAAAAAATAGGAAAAGTACCATTACTACTACGTACACACACAACGCATCATGAATACGCCTTTCTACAGCCGCCTGCCCCCTTCTCCACTAAACGCGTGTCACACACACTGTCTCTCTCTGTGCGTACACCTAAAACCCCGCAGTATAACAACAACATCAATTTCTTCTTCCGGCGTTGCTGCCGTCCCTCGCGCGGCTACGTCGTCGAACCGGTTTACACTTGGCCGCGTTGCTCGACGCGTTTGCTCGGAGAGACAATGTCTCCTGCTTCTTACACTCGGCCACTACGTCGAATCGGTGTTGCACGTGGCCGCGTTGTTCGGAGAGACAATCGCGCCTCCTGCTTACACTCGGCTACTTCGTCGAATCCGCCTTGCACGCGGACCGATCCGTTCCTCGAAGACAATCTGCTCCTTCTTACACTCGGCGACAATGCGGTTTACCCGGCCGCGTTGGTCGACGCGTTTGCGCGGAGAGACAATCTCTCCTCCTTCTTTCGCGCGGCCCCTGTGGTCGACGCGTGTGCTCGTAGAGACAATCTCGTCCTTCTTACACTCGGTTACGTCGTCAAATACGTTCACTCGGTGGCAATGCGTGTATCAGGCCACGTTTGCTCGGAGAGACAATCTCTCCTCCTTCTTACACGCGGACAATCCCGTTTACCCTGCCGCGGTGGTAGACGCGTTTGCTCGGAGAGACAATTCTCCTCCTTGTTACACTCGGCCGCTGCCTCGAATCCTTGTTACAATCGGCCGCGTTGGTCGACGCGTTTGCTCGGCGAGACAATGTCTCCCTCCTTTCTTACGCTCGTCTATTTCCTCGAACAATGTGCTTTACCCGGCCACGTGTGCTCGACGCGGGTGCTCGCAGAGACAATCCTCCTCCTTCTTACACTAGGCTACTTCCTCGAATCCTTCTTACACTCGGTCGCGTTACTGGGACAATCCCGTTTACCCGGCCACGTTTGCTCCGAGAGACAATCTCTCCTGCGTGTTACACGCGGCCGCTTTGGTCGACGCGTGTGGTCGGACAATTTGTCCTCGTTCTTACACTCGGCGGCAATGTGCTTTACCCGGCCACGTTTGCTCGACGCGTTTGCTCGACGCGCGTGCTCGGAGAGACAATGTGTACCTTCGTACACGCGACGACAATGCGGTGTACGCGGCCGCGTGTGCGCGGACAGACAATGTCGCCTTATACTCGAATGCTTATGCGCATGCTATATGTGTTCTGCACTATGCCCGTAGAATGCACGTGCGCATCTTTTAATAATTAACTTCACATAAAGGAGAATGCTACCCCTTCATATTATTCATTTAAATCTACATTTTATATGCATGTAACCCGTACGCACCTGTTCCTATGGTCATGTTAAAAGAAGTTGACTACACAGAAAAAGAACAAAACAAAGCAAAAGTAAACAGAAGTAAGCAGAACAGAGCAGAAGAGAGCAGAACAAAAAAAGAAGGTATGGAATAATGTAAACTAGACGTATACTATGTATATCACATAATGAAGTAAAAGTCATGTACGGTTAGCATGCGTTATTTTCCATGCATATGCCCCGTCATCCTAATTTCAGAGCTTGTGCAATAGTTCATCCACATATAACTCCTTCTCCTGCAAACGACATTCGACCTCGCAGTGTTCTATGACTAATGCCAGGATCAGTATCCATGTTTTAGCGGTTAACGGTTTTGTCATGTAAGGTTGCTTATGCAGTTGCGAGCGCGGTACATCGCGCACGTGTAGCAAGTGTTCTGTGCCCATTGCTTTTTCCACTTCTAAGTGTTTTTCTACTCCAGGTACTTCGCGTTTTTCCGGTACTGTCTCCTCCTCTACACTATTCAACAAACGTTGAAACCACTCCTCCTCACCATATATATGCATAAGCGCATGTTGCTGTGCGACCCACTGTTTCCACAGGACCAATTTCTTGCTTTGCATGTATGGGATATTACCGTACTCACCTAATTCACGGTGCCCGTTGTCCTCGTTTGCCACCATTTGTTCACTCAGGTATTGTGTCCATTGCAATTTGAGGGCATTAAACCACGGTTGCCCCGTGCACGCCCTTAAAATATGTTTGTGTCGCTCAATCCAGTTAATCCTGTGGGTGCAATGCGACGTCGCGTCTCCGGGGTTGAAATGAGCATTCTGTTGTGCATCTAACTGTATAGTTTCCATACAACTCCATGGGTCGTGTTCGTTCGGTGCAGAAGCGTCCGTGGGTAACTGTATGTTTTCCATACAACTCCATGGATCGCAGTCATTCGGTGCACAAGGGTCCGTTTCTAACTGTATAGTTTCCATACAACTCCATGGAGCGGGGTCGTGTTCATTGGGTGGACATGGGTCCGTTGGTAACTGTATGGTTTCCATACAACTGCATGAATCCCAGTCATTAGGTGGGCAAGGGCCCGTTGGTAACTGTATAGTTTCCATGCACTTCCATGGATCGGGGTCATGTTCGTTAGAAGCACCAGGGTCCGTTGGTAACTGTATAGTTTCCATACAACTCCATGCATCGGGGTCGTGTGCATGCGGTGCACAAGGGGCCGTGTGTAACTCTGTCGTTTCCATACAACTCCATGGATCGGGGTCATGCGGTGAACAAGGGTCCGTTTGTAATTGTATAGTTTCCATACAACTCCATGAATCGCAGTCATTAGGCGGAGAACGGTCCGTTGCTAACTGTATGGTTTCCATGCAACTCCATGGATCGGGGTCCTCGTCGTTACGTGGACATGGATCTGTTCCGTCGGAATCGGTGGATGGATTGAGGATGGAGGAAACATTGTTCCGTGATAAATCCTGGTTTGTGCTAGGAGTATCCGGGAAACTACTGTGCCCCTTTGCGTCCTGCTGCAAGTCTCGCGCACACTCCTGCACGACAATCTTCCAATAGTCGTCTTTCACCGTTTCCCATGCGGCCGCTTCACATTCGTTGAGCACTTCTAGATGTAGCTCGATAATCGTTCGCCTATGCACGCGTGGATGACGTCGTCGTCGGTCGGATGTTGACGCAGGTTGCCTATCCGTAAGCATGGTGTACCCGTAATCGGGTGGTGGCGCGCCGCGTTGTAGATGCTCCAATATTTCTTCGTCGAGTGGCGGTGACGGCACGTTACGAACGGTGCGATATGTTCGTCGGCGTTTTTGTCCGAGGAAGGCAAAGTACTAAGCAGAAAAAGGGGGTAAAGAGCAGGGTGAGGACGGTAGGATAAAAGGAATGAATACGGGTGTAGGGGCATATGGGTTCAAACGATCATATATTGGAGCCCGTAGGGAGTTTCTGAGGTATAAACATCCTGCACATGCAGCATGACTTGATTGTCGTGTATACTTACCTTCCATAGGAAAAACGCAATCACCCCAATACCAACCACCGCTGGAATAATCGCGGGGGTGTACCGCTTGACATCTTCCCATGTGAGGCCGGGCGGAACGTAAGGGGTTGCAGGGGTAGGAGCGTCCCATCCAGCATCACTACCACTACCGCCGTGTCCTCCAGCACTAGTACCACGTCCGCCATCAGTCCCTGCATCTTTTCCTTCCCCACTAGAAACACCACCTCCAGCACCACCTCCTGGGGCCGGTTCGCCGCCGCCGCCGCTACCGCTAGTACCCGATTGATCTGGGTTCGTGGGTGCTGGTTTGGGTGGATTGAGAGGAGGGGGGTCATCGTTGCCTTCCACGACCACGGTATCGCCTGAACATTTGGTGAATGGGGAGACAGGGAAAGGGAAGGAAGAAGGATGTGATGAAACTGAAGGTTTGAAGTGGATGCATGGTTATCGTTGGTCGCTCATCGTTCACGGTTGACCGCCGGTCGGGTGACGATACAGGGACGGGGGGCACGGCCAGGCGTGGAGGCAGCAGACGGACGGGGATGGGAGCACGGGGGCAGGAGAAGGACGGCGGTAGGGTGCCACGGGGGGACGGTGCCACTGCGGGAAAAGACTCTCTCTGTCTCCCACACAACACACACAACACACATTGTGTGTGTCTGTCGGTCTGTCCACGTGGACGTGTACAACCCGCGGCCGACCCATCGCTCTCCCCCCCCTTTCATTCTCATTCGACGTGTGGTTTCTCTCTTCCTCTCGCCGTCTCTGTCTCCGGAAAAGTTGTGTCGTGTTGTTTGTGTTTGGTTCTCTCTGTTTTTGTTCTGGTTATTCACTCAGGAGACTACCTGGTCCCGAGTCCTTGGACTTGTTCGCACAGTCATTAGTAGCCTCTGGGCTCGACACAAAAGAAAGGGTGGTGGTGGATGAGGCACCTTGGATGCCCTTGCCTGCATTCTTCGCCACATGAACTTCGGTTCTACTAGTACACTTACCTGTATTGTCAGTGTGCGTCCCTACGGGTCCTGTTCCCGAGGTCGCCGGATCTTGTGATGTTGATGATGGTTGTCCTCCCCGTGCTGATCCTGCAGGTGCCCCGTCCTCTTCCCCTGTTTTATGTGCCCTGCCTACGTCTGTGTTCCCTGCTGGTGGCGACGGAGGTGCCCCTGGACTCCCTGCACCTGAAGCTGTTGGTGATGGGGTGCTTGAAGGTTGTGCTTGGTCCTTGTGTTTATCATCTGTTCCATTTGGACCCTTCTCTGGACTCTTTGTTTTAGCTATGAAGGGGGAAAAGAGAGGGTCGATGTTTGTTAAAACAAAGCGGAATGGATGAAAAAACAAAGAACAAAGGAGTGGTGGGTGAGTAGGGTATGGTCGCCTCGATGCAGGGTACGATGCATGGATCGAGGTGCAATCGGTGGACTCCGTACTCCGTGAACTGGGTCAGGCGACAGCAAGCGCACGGTGAGATGAACTCGGTGGACTGGGCTACATGGGATGGTAGCAGTACAACTTTTATTTGTTGTTGCCGTCATCTCGGGCGCTGCATCCGGCGACCCGCTGCATCCCTCATCTCGTCTCCGGTGCCGTGGCTGGCGCTCCATCACGCGTCGCCGCCGCAACCGCTACCGTGGCCACTCATGTGCGTCCGCTCCGCAACCGTTATCGCTACCGCTTCCGTCGTGGCTGCACACGTCAGCTTAACGAGGGGGTGCTGCTGTTCCGTCGCGTGTGCGTTGTCGTGGCAGCGTTGTGTTGTTGTCCCCCCGTGTGCGTGTGTGTTGTGGTTGCGGCATCCGTATGCGCAGTCGTATGAGCCGTATTTGGCCGTAGTTGTGTGATATGCACTGTTCGTAGCGGCCTTATTTTCGTATTCTTGTGCACCCGTATTCGTGCCGTCGCCCATCGGTCTTACCTGTCGGTTCCGTTGATGGTGCTGGTGTATCGCTTTTGACAGAGTTCGATACTGTGTCCTCACTGGCGGCATCCTCCGGATCGCTACTGGAGACTTCTTGGATAGGCTCCATGCATGTTCCAGGTGTCTGCGCGCATTTCACTACTGCTGTCTTTACCTCCTGAACTATGGTCTTCATTTCTTTGCCTAATTTCTCTATAGCTTGTTTTTCCTCATGCTGCATCGCAATTGGTGCATTAGCTCCGTGTGTTACCCGTGTTGCCCCCCCAAGTGCTGCTAAGCTTGGCGTACATGTGCTTTGTATACCCTTGCCTCCAATTGTTTCAGTCAAGTTCTTGTTCTTCTGTAACCAGGTGTTAATCGTTGTCTCCATGTCGAATTCCTGTATTTTTATGTTTTCAAACTTTCCCTGTGCACATTTACCTTGGCTTATTAAACGACCCCCTGACCCTTGTTCCATCTGTTTCATTGTGTACCATGCATTATCTATTCCCATTTCACTTCTGCATGGAGATTCCAGCAATATGTACATAAATATATTTACTATTGCGCATCTTATATGTTCCTTCAACGGTTCATTCATAGGGTCTGTCTCTTCCGCGCTAGCGGACCCGGGGCGCCACCTGTTCATGAAAAATAATGCTCGTGACATGAGTGTGCACATAATTCTATCTGCCAGTTTCTGTGCCACAAATGTGCCTTCTCGCCTCAGACTGCTATAACCCGCGTTCAAACAATTAGCTGCATAGCTGTCTAGTTGCTCATTGTCCATATATCTCACAAATTCGTCGAGTAGCGCTGTTACATCTTTCCCTAGGAATTCCTGTATTTTGCATAAGGAATATATATGTGTGTGCATAATTGGCCACACTAGCGTTCTGTTCCATATTCATATGTGCCCATAGTTTTGTACGTACTGCGCGTACGGTATGGGCGCACTGTATTATTAATATAGAATTAGTGCACGCTCGCTTACGTACAATATATATACATGCGCGTATGCATACTATCATGTATAGAGGCGTTTATAATCACACTGCGCCCCACCTTCGTGGTCTTAGTAAATTACCGTATACAGTTCCTTTTGATGCACTAGACCCCTCTTCCGCACATAATGTACTAATAAAGCCCCTAACCTCTTATAGTTCATATTGTCCTTATCATGAATCAATATGGTGCAACGGATGAAACCATTAGCTGTCAAATAACGTCTTAAATATAATGTGCGCACAATATGCTGTTATGTATTATTCAGATGCTTAGGGAATGGAACATGTCTCCCAGTATAGGGTGCCTTCGGCAACATGTCCCATGAACAAACTGTCCCCTATATGAATGTAATCACACACCCTATAAAGCGTGGGTTTTGGAAGACAGAAAAAAAGAAAAAAGAAAAAAAAGAACAAACACTACACACACAACGCGTCATGAATAATACCCCCCTCCCCCCTTTCTACACCGCTCTCCACTAAACGCCTGTCACACACACGTTGTCTCTCTGTGTGCGTACACCTAAAAACCGCAGTAATAACAACAGCATCAGTCTCTTCTGCCGTCGTTGCCGCCGTCGTTGCCGTCCTTCCCGCGGCTACGTCGTTGAATCGTTTACTCGAACGCCGTAATCGAACCGCTTCACTCGGCTACTTCGTCGAATCGGTCTTACACTCGGACAATGGGTTTACCCGGGCCACGTTTGCTCGGAGAGACAATCTCTCGTCCGTGTTACACTCGGCGACAATCCCGTGTACCCGGCCGCTTTGGTCGACGCGTTGGCTCGGAGAGACAATGTCTCCCGCCGTTCTTACACTCGGACAAGCCTTCGTCGAACTGCGTCACTCGGACAGTCGTGTTTACCCGGCCGCGTGTGCTCGGAGAGACAAGCGCGCCCTCCTTTCTTGCCCTCGGCACAAGGCTTACGCGGCCACTTCGCCGAATCCTTCTTACACTTGGCCTCGTTGGTCGACGCGTTTGCTCGGAGAGACAATCTCGCGTCCTGCTTACACTCGGCTACAATGCGGTTTACTCGGCCGCGTTGGTCGACGCGTGTGCTCGGAGAGACAATCGCTCCTCCTTGTTACACGCGGACAATCCTGCGTCGAATCGTGGTTACACGCGGCTACAATGCGCTGTACGCGGCCGCTTTGGTAGACGCGTGTGCTCGGACAGACAAGCGCTCCGTATACTCGAATGCGTATGCGCATGCTATGGTTGTGCTGCATGATACCCGTAGAATGCACGTGCGCATCTGTTAATAATTAATTTCCCATAAAGGAGAATACTACCCCTTCATATTATTCATTTAAATGTACATTTTATATGCATGTAACGGGTACGCACCGGTGCCTATGGTCATGTTAAAAGTTGACTACACAGAAAAAGAACAAAAGCAAAAGTAAGCACAAGGAAGCAGAACAGAGCAGAACAGAGCAGAAAAAAAAAAAGAAGGTATGGAATAGTACAAACACGAAATATATTATGTCTATCACGTAATGAAGCAAAAGTGGTGTACGGTTAGCATGCGTTATTTCCCATTCATATGCCGCGTCATGCGAATTTCAGAGCTGTTCCAATAGGTGATCCACATATAACTCCTTTTCGTGCATATTCTGCTCCATTTGACATTCCTCAATAATTAAGGATAGGACGAGCATCCACAGTGTGTGCGCGGTTAATTGCTCCGTATGTCGCAATTCCGGATAGTGGTCGTGCTGTTGTTCTGGGTCTTTTACCGTCGCCAACGCTATATGTTCACGGGCCACGTCCGTGTCTACATGGGTTTGTTGTTCTGGCACCTGGGACTCGTCATGGGCGTGCACTATTTTTTCCATTTCTGGTACTTCAGCTTTTCCTTGTATGATTACTTTGTCCTCCTCTACATTATTCAATAAATGTTGGAACCACGCCTCCTCACTATATGTATTCATAAGCGCATGTTGTTTTGCAACCCATTCTTTCCATGCATGCTTCTTGCTGTCCATGAATGCGGCTGTCGTGTTCACACCAGATGCGTCGTTTGCCACCATGTGTGCAAGCAGGTATTGTTTCCATTCCAACGTTAGCTGCAAAAACCACGGCTGCCCCTTACACTCCCGCAATAGATGCTTGTTGCGGTCAATCCAACGCAGCCACGTGGTAGTGTGGGATGTGGGTGTGTCCGTGACGGTGTCGCTTGTGAGTGTGTGTTGTGTGATTTCGGGCTTAGGATCAGCACAGGTGTGTCTGTCTGTGACTGCTTTACATGTGGGTATGTCTGTGATTTCGGGCTTAGGATCCTCACATGTGGGTGTGTCTGTGACTGGGGCGTTGGTGTGTGGATGTATGATTGCAGGCTTTGGAGGTTCATGTGGGGGTATGTCCGTGACTGTGTCACGTATGGGTATGTCTGTGACTGCTTTACATGTGGGTGTGTCTGTGACTGTGTCGTTTGTGACTGTGTGTTGTGTGATGTCGGGCTTAGGATCATCACGTGTGGGTGTGTCTGTGACTGCGTTACCGGAGCCTGGTGGTTGTGTGATTTCGGGCTTAGGATCCGCACATGTGGGTATGTGCGTGACTGTGTCGCATGTGGGGCTGTCTGTGATTTCGGGCCTAGCATCCTCACTCGTGGTGGTATGCGTGACGATGTCACATGTTGGTATGTGCAGGACTGGGTCACCTTGGCCAGGTTTTTGTGTGATTTCGGGCTTAGGATCAGCACATGTGGGTGTGTGTGTGGCTGGAACGGGGGCGTCGCAGGTGGGATGACGGGCGTGGTAATGACGCGGTCGGTCTGCGTTGGATGAAACACAGGTCCCTGATAAACGCTGCTTTGTGGTAGACACACCCAAGATATTGTTATTCCTGTGCTGTTCCCGCATCAAGTCACGCGCAAACGCTTCAACGAGTATGTGCAAATAGTCCTCTTTGACGTTTTCCCACTCGGTTGCTTCACATTCGTTGAGCACTTCTAAATGTAGCTCGATGATCGTGCGCTTATGCACGCGCGGTGGGCGTTGTCCGCGGCGTTCCGCAGCAGATGGACGCCGCCTATCCCTAATCATGGTGTACCCGTAATCGGGTGGCGGTAGTTCGCCGCGTTGTAGATGCTGCAATATTTCGTCGTCGAGTGGCGGTGACGGGATGTCACGCACGGTTCGATACGTTCGTCGTCGTTTGTGGCCGAGGTACGCAAAGTACTAAACAAAAAAAGGGGGGTAAAGAGGAGGGTGAGGACGGTAGGATAAAAGGAATGAACGCGCGTGTAGGAGTATATGGGTGCAAACGATCATATATGGGAGCCCGTAGGGAGTTTCTGCGGTATAAACATCTTGCACATGCGGGATTGCGTGATTGCCATATATGCTTACCTTCCATAGGAAGAACGCAATGAGCCCAATACCAACCATCGCGGGAATGATCGCGGGGGTATAGGGGATCAGGTGATTCCAAGTCCATACGGGGACTTCAGGGGAAGCATGGGTAGTGGGATCATGTGTGTGTAGTGTATCATCCTTTTTCGTTTTGTCCAGTGCTGTAGGGTCCTTATTCTTGGGTTCCGATACTGGTTCTAGGGGAGACGGCATTTGCCCATTGGGTCCCTGAGGACTGGGGTCTAGACTAGTAGTATTACCAGAACCCGGTACCGCCGGTGGTCCCTGTTCGCCACCACTGCTCCCCGATTGATTTGGGTTCGGGTTCGGTTTTGGTTTGGGTGGATTGAGAGGAGGGGGGTCGTCCCCGGTACTAACCTTGCCTCCGTCGACGACGTCATCGCCTGAACATGTGGTGAATGGGGAGACAGGGAAAGGGAACGAAGAAGTATGATGAAACTGAACTTTTGCAGCGGTGGTGGCACATGGTTGGTTGTCCACATGATCCGTCGCTTGTGGTTGGCTGGTGCCACCCCGGGGAAAAGACTCTGTCTCTCCCACAACACACAACACAACACACACACAGTGTGTGTGTCTGTGTCTGTCGACGTCGACGTCTCTACATCTCTCTACCTGCTGCGGCGGCTTACGCGCCCCCGCGCCCGACCCATCGCTCTGCCGGTTACTCTCATTCGACGTTTGGTTTCTCTCGCTGCGTGGTTTCTCTCTCTGCGTGTGGTCTCTCCCTCTCTCTCCGGAAAATTGTTGTTGCTTGTTTTTTTTTTTTTTGTTCTTCCGCTAATAGTGCACGGGACATGCACGCACAGGATGTGTGACTGCACCCCGAGGTGCACTTTGCTGTCGAGTGGGGTACTACACTCCGGAGTCTCTGGACTATTACTACCTGAGCAATCCTTGGGGTCGGAAGGGGACGCGAACGAGACAGACACAGTTAAGGTACCTTCCCCTACGTCTTTCTCATGGGATCCTGTGGTTACACCGCATGTTGACTTAGACTTCTTACCTGCTTTCTCTGATCCGTCTGCTGTTGGACCAGGTGGTGATCCCCGTGGTGGTGCCGCAGGTGCGGGTTGCGGTACGGGTCCTGCGCCTGGTATGGTGTCTGCTGGTGGCGTGTCTGCCCTTCCTACTCCTACAGGCCCTGTTGGTTGCGACTGAGTTCCCGGTGTACCCCCTGTACCTGCACCTGTTGGTGATGGTGTGGTTGACGGATGTGTTGTCTGAGTACCTCCACCCTGTGGTTCCTGTGGACTGGCCTTGTCCTTTTCCTTCTTAGAATCTGACCCTTCTGTCTGTTTCTTCTTGGCTTCCTCCGCTGCAGCAGTAAAGCAGGAAAGAAAGATGGTAGAAATATGATAAAAAAAAAAAGGACACAAGTGGTACAGAAAGAAGGGGCCGGGATGGTGCGGTCAGGTAGCGGCAGGGTAGGTCGATTGCATGGATCGATGCAGTGGGTCGCGGCGCACTCGGTCAACTGCGCACTCGGTGGACGGAGGTGATAGCAGTACAACTTTTATGTTGTTGCCGCCGTCATGTCGGGGCCGCGAGCGCACACACACACCTCGTCTACATAGTGGCCGCCGCACACTCATCGCCCTCCGCTCCGCCGCCACCCCTACCACTGCCGTCGTGGTCGCCGTTCTCATCGCTCAACCGAAGTGGGGCACACGAAGTGAGGTCGAGAAGAGGCAGCGCTGTGCTGTTCCACCGTGCGTTGTTGTCGCCGCGCGTGCGTTGCGTTGTGGTGGAGGCATACGTATTAGTACGGCCCGGACGGGCCGTATGTTCGCATTCGTACTCGTATGGGCCGTATGCGTATTTGTACGAGTCGTATTCTTACCTGTCCTTTCCTTCATGTCCTCTTGTGCGTTCTTCTTCCCTGCCTCTTCCTCGTCCGCAGATTCAACATCACTGTCCCCGACGCCTCCGGAGCTGCCGGTTTTATTTCGTGCCTTGTCCACCTTTTTTCTTACTGTTGTGGTAATTGTCTTAAACATGTCTTGCATCTGCGTTTTCACTAATGTGTTCATATCGTCCTGCTGAAATATACTGGAAAGGTCTGCATGTTGCCCTCGTGCCTCTAAATTGTTCTTGTACGTTGCCCAATCCATTTTACACTTTGGGTTGTTCTTTATTGCCTGCATACGATTACGTATTGGTGTACTTTGCTGTAACCATTTTTCTATGGCGCTCTGCAAATCCCGTGTTCCCACCTTTGTATCAGTGTACTCATCGAGTCTACATGTTCCATCTGAAATTGAAGTTTCCACCCCACCCGTTCCTCCCATTTCTTTCATGATGTACCAGGCCTGGTCTGGTCCTAGCCACTGAAATCCACACGGTATTGCAGCCAATATATACGCAAAAACATTGGCCACGGTGCACCTCATAATAGCCTTCATCTCCTTATCATTTTGCGACTCGTCCGTATCCGGCGGCTGAGTAGATCTCCACGGAGCTATGAAAAATAATGCTCCAACCATCAGTCTGCATTTCATGACGTCCGCAACTGTGTGCCCGCGATACTTTATGCCCTTATGCCTGTCCCCCCTACGTGTCCAACCTTCATCCCCACAGCTTGTGGCATACAAGTCTAAGGTGTCCTCTATCTGTTCCATGTAAGGCACAAAATCCTTTAATACATTTTCCATATCTGCCCATAATGCACTCTACGAAATACATACATAGAGAAAATGATTAATGTATAACAATATATCAACTCTATAGGACTCTACCTGCCGTTCCGTATGTGTTAGCGCTCATATATGTACCAACACTATATTCCGCCACCGTTCTTCGCTGTGTGGTGCAATCCCTTGTTTTGAGTTAATACTTACATCAAGCTGTTGCTGTGTCCCTAGTTCCCTCTTTATGGCCCATTCGGCCATTACGTCCACCAGATGTGCTGCCATGGTGCATTACGTCGCATAATACAGGATACTAATCGTCTCTGAGAATACTATGCACATTATACATATTCCGTCCTCATGCTATGCACACTTGGGCCTAATGAATATTCTTATTTCTCTATAAGTGAGGGGAAGCCGATCACACACATAATTTATATAAGGAAAATGCACAATACAGAATTGCAGAGTACACAAACTGTTTACACTATGCTGATATTGTTTAGGAGAGAATAATATGCAGGGACACAACAATGAGTAAAAAATTAAAGAGAGAAAAAAAAAAAAACAGGCAAGGAAAAAATAGAAAAACTACTACTACACTACCGTTCACACACAACGCGTCATGAATACGTCTTTCTACACCCGCCCCTCGCCCCCTTCTCCACTAAACGCCTTCACACACTGGCTGTCTCTGCGTGCACCTACAAACCGCAGTAATAACAACAACATCAATTTCTTCTGCCGTCGTTGTTGCCGTCCTGCCCTCGTTCTTGGCTCCCGCAAATAATATGTGTGTTCCTTCGCTCCCCGCCGCGCTCACTCTGCTCCCTCACTCGAATCCTTCCCTCGAACCTCCTTACTCGGCTACTTCGTCGACGCGTTTGCTCGGAGAGACAATCTCTCCCGCCTTTCTTACACTCGGACAATCCGTCGTCGAATCCTTCTTACACTCGGCGACAATGTGCTTTATCCGGCCGCGTGTCCTCGGAGAGACAATCTGTCCTCCTTCTTACACTCGGACAATCCTTCGTCGAATCGTGCTTACACTGGGCCGCGTTGTTCGACGCGTTTGCTCGGAGAGACAATGTCTCCCTCCTTTCTTACACTCGGACAAGCCTTCGTCGAATCGTTGTTAAACTCGGCTACTTCGTCGAAACCTTCGTACACTCGGCCGCGTTGTTCGACGCGTTTGCTCGGAGAGACAATCTCTCCTCCTTCTTACACTCGGCTACTTCCTCGGACAATCGCGTTTACCCGGCCGCGGTGGTGGACGCGTGTGCTCGGAGAGACAATGTCTCCGTACGTTCTTACACTCAGCTACTTCCTCGGGCAATCGGTTTACCCGGCCACAGTCGCTCGCAGAGACAATGTGTACCTTCTTACACTCGGCTACATGGTCGAATCGTGGTTACACTCGGCTACATGGTCGAATCGTGGTTACACTCGGCTACCATGCGGTGTACGCGGCCGCGTTGGTCGACGCGTTTACTCGGAGAGACAATCTGTCCTTATACGCGAATGCGTATGCGCATTCTATATGAGTCGTACACTATACCCTTAGAATGCACTTGCTCAGCTTTTAATAATTAACTTCACATAAAGGAGAATTCTACCCCTTCATATTATGCAGTTAAATCTACATTTTATATGCATTTATCCTCTACAGCCGGAAGCGTATAGTCATAATAAAAGAAGTGGACTACACAGAAAAAGAACAAAACAAAGCAAATGTAAGCAAAGTAAACAGAAGTAAGCAGAAGAGAGAAGAAGAAAAAAAAAGAACGTATGGAATAATGTAAACCAGAAATATATTATGTATATCACATAATGAAATAAAAGTGGTGTACGGTCAGCATGCGTTATTCCCATGCATGAGCGCCGTCAGGCGAATGTCAGAGCTGTGCCAATAGGTCATCCACATATAACTCCGTCTCCTGCAAACGACATTCGACCTCGCACTGTTCTATGACTAATGCCAGGATCAGTATCCATGTTTGAGCGGTTAAGCGTTTTTTCATGTAAGGTTGCTTATGCAGTTGGGACCGTGGTACATGTCGCACTCTCAGTATATCTTCTGCGGCCATTGCTTTTTCCACGTCTAAGTCTTGTTCGACTACTGATACGTCGCCTTTTTGCGGCACTGTGTCCTCCTCTACATTATTCAACAAATGTTGAAACCACTGCTGCTCCTTGCCATACATACGCATGTGCCGATGTTGCTGGGCAACCCATTCTTTCCACAAGTCCAGTTTCTGCATGTGCAGGGTTGCCGCTTCACCGAGTACACTGTGCCCGGATACGCCGTTTTGCGCATGCTGTTGATAATATTGTTTCCATTCCAATTTGAGGGTGTGAAACCACGGTTGCGTCGTGCACTTCCGCAATAGATGCTTGTTGCTGTCAATCCAGTTAATGAAGTGGATGTAGTCGGGGGCACGCATGTCACGTGTCGCCGCTGGTTGGGAACGACTGTGTGCCGGTGCTAACTGTATGGTTTCCATACAACTCCATGGGTTATCTTCGTTAGGTGGAGAACGGTCCGTTGCGAACTCTATCGTTTCCATACAACTCCATGCATCCGTTCCGTCGCAGTCAGTGGAGGAAACATTGTTTCCTGATAAATCCTGGTTTGTGATAGGAGCATCCAAGGAACTACTATACCCCTTTGCGTCCCGCATCAACTCCTGTGCAAACTCCTCCACGACAATCTGCAAATACTCGTCTTGGACGTTTTCCCACGCGGCCACTTCACATTCGTTGAGCACTTCTAAATGTAGCTCGATGATCGTGCGTTTATGCACGCGTGGTTGACGTCGTCGTTGTGCGGTAGAAGATGCAGGCCGCCTATCCCTAACAATCGTGTACCCGTAATCGGGTGGCGGTAGTTCGCCGCGTTGTAGATGCTCCAATATTTCTTCGTCGAGGGGCGGTGACGGGACGTCGCGAACGGTTCGATATGTTCGTCGTCGTTTGGCAAGGTACGCAAAATACTAAGCAGAAAAAGGGGGTAAAGAGGAGGGTGGGCACGGTAGGATAAAAGGAATGAACGCGGGTGTAGGAGTATATTGGTTAGAAACATCATATATTGGAGCCCGTAGGGATGTGCTGACGTATAAACAGCCTGCACTTGCGGCATTCCGTGATTGCCGTATATACTTACGTTCCAGAGGAAAAAGGAAATGATGCCAATACCAACCACTGCGGGAATGATCGCAGGGGTATAGGGGATGAGATCCTTGGGGTCGAAGGGTTTCGGGGAAGGAAGGGGAGGTTGAGGTTGGTCATTAACTCCTTGACGTGGACCACCGGAAGGAGGAGAACCGGTGCCCTGAGTCCCAGTTGCTGCTGGCCCCGCATAAGCTGGACCAGATGATCCGGGGTTTTTGGCCCCAGTAGAACCTGTACCAGAGGAACCACTTGCGTCCGGCTGACCGGTGCTGCCGCTACCGCTTGCACCCGATTGATTTGGGTTCGGGTTGGGTTTTGGTTTGGGTGGATTGAGAGGAGGGGGGTCATCATTGCCGCCGTCGACGACAACATCGTCCACCGCTTTACCGGCTTCACCGCTTGCACCTTTTGCACCAGGTGCACCGGGTTCGCCCTGGTTGCCGTTGTCCCCGGCTTTGCTCGGGTCACCGTTGTCACCGGATCCACCAGCTTTACCTGGTGCACCCGCTTGATCAGTTTCCGCTGAAGAACCTGCTGGCCCGTTCGTTGGAATGTGCGCATTACTAGGGCCCTTGGAATCCTGTTGATCTGGTGCTGGTGCTGGGGATTGGTCTGCTGGTTCCCCTGGACCACTCGTTGTCACATGAGTAGGCGCAGGGTCATTACCTATAAATACGAGCAGGCGTGGGAAAAGTAAAGTGTGAGGTGGCTGATGGGTCCCATGGTTGACGACGGTTGTGCTTGACCACATGGTCCATCGCTTTGGGCACCATTCTTGAGTGCCGGTTGCCCACACCGTTGACCGCCGGTCGGATGACGAGACAGGGACGGGGGGCACGGCCAGGCGTCGGGGACACGGTGCGAACGGTGGTTGGCTGGTGCCACCACGGGAAAAGACTCTCTCTCTCTCCCACACAACACACACAACACACACAACACACTCAGTGTGTGTGTGTGTGGCTGTCGACATCTGTCGACGTCTACAACCGGCGGCTGACCCATCGCTCTGTCGCTCGCTGTGCGTTGCGCTCATTCTCATGCGACGGTCGGTTGCTCTCTGGCGCTCTCCGTGGTTTCGCTCTCCGGGTTGTCGGGCCGTGTGGGCGGAAATGTTGTTTCGTTTTTGTTTGTGTGCTGTGTTCTAGCCGAATAGTGTACTGAGAGTACCGACAGTGGGATGTGGACCCCGTGGTGCAGAGTACCTGGAACTTCCGTTGGATTGTCCGGGTCCATGCATTCATTTGTGGAGGGTGTTGTTGAGAAAGAAATTTCCACAGTTGCCTGATTACCGTCGTTGTCTACACTCTGGTTTCGTTCCTTCTTCACAACTATCTCACATGTGGTCTTAGACTTCTTACCTGCATTCGTTGATCCTTCCTGTTGTGGTGGTGAAGGTTCTGGTTTTTGTCCAGGTCCTGGGCCCCCTGATCCTTCGGCTGATCCGGCTCCTTGTGTTGATGGGGGTGCCGCCGGTGGGGGTGGTGGTACGGGTCGTGTGTCGTCTGTATCTTCCTTCCTGGCTGCGTTGCGTCCTGCAAATGAAGCAAGGAAGATACACGACAACATGGTACAAAAGGACACAAGTGGTACAGAAAGAAGGGGCGGCAGGAAGCATACGCTGAGGTGGATGATAGCAGTACACTTTTATTTGTTGTCGCCGTCATCTCGTCTCCGCTGCCGTGGCCACTCATCTCCTCCGCTCCGCAACCGCTACCTCTGCCGTCGTGGCCGCCGTTCTCATCGCTCAACCGAAGTGGGGCACACGAAGTGAGGTCGAGAAGAGGCAGCGCTGTGCTGTTCCGCCGCGTGTGTGTTGTTCGCCGTTGCGTTGTTCTGGCGGCATCCATATTTGGCTGTATCGGTGGCGGCCGTATGATCTGTATTCGGCCGTATTCGTATTCCGTCTTATGGATATACCTGCTTCTATCTATATGTATATTTGTATGCTTACCATGCGTGTTGTCCTCAGCACTTCTTGTGTCCTTCTTGCTGTCCTGTTGTGCTGCTCCTGGTGTCTGCGGTGGCGCAGTTGGGTTCTCAGCTACCTGTATCCCCGATCCTGGCTTCTCTGCTGCTGTACCCGGTTGTCCAGTCTGCGGTGGTTTGCCTCCTCCTTCCAACTGTTCACCCACCTTTTTCATTATCTCGTGCATTCCGCTACCTATGACGTCTTTTATTCCTGTCTCCAGTTTTTCCCTTACTTCCGTTTCTCCATATGTTTCACTACTTGCCCCCCCCACTCGCCATGTACCCTCTCCCTTCCCTGTTCTCTTCGCCTCTTTACTTTTTTCTTGGGCAGTTTGGCACATCCTTTTAATTTCTGTATTCCTCACCCATTCCCTTAACTGCGTGTTCTTCTGTATCCACTCCTTAATTTTTTCCTTCATACTCCAATGCCCAAGGTTAACTTCGTCTATGAACCCTTTGACACATCTCCCTTCGGCCACAATGTTCCCCTCTATTCCCTTCATCTGGTCCCTCATGACGTACCAGGCGTACTCTAGCCCCCAGTGTCCCTCACATACTGTCTCCTCCAGTATATGCATAAACACATTTACAATTGTGCACCCTATAAATTCTTGTAACCTTTGTACTGCCTCATGTCTCCCTTTCATAAACCTCCTTAACCCAGTGGGGTCAGTGAGGAAGAATAGTGCTGTTGACATAACTTTGCACATAACCTTGGTACCGGGCCACTTAACGTGGTGCTCATACCCTGTTCCACTGTGGTAATAAAAATGGCTGTTGCAGTTGCTCCCGTAGGTTTCCCAGTTCTCCGCGTTCTGGACATATTTAATAAAGTCTTGTAATATTGGTTCTATCTACTGCCATAACCATTCCTACAATTCAGAAAACATGAACACACCTTTATGTACATGTGCTGTTCATCGTTTTTGTCGTGGTGGTTGCCGATACCTACACTTAAGTATTGTTCCCTGTTACTGTATGAATGCTGCTTGCGCACTATACTCAAACTAAAAACGCACAACTGTGATGCATAAGTCCGATTCACGTATATTCGGCATCTTGCATCGGTCGCTGCGAGTGTCCACAAAGCTCTTCTCCGTTCTCCCTCTAGTTCTCAATAGCTTACCCGGAACCTAGTCCATTCCCAAGCTCGATGGCCTTTTCGTCTATAGGCCTTCCAGGCTGTCAGTATGTTATCCTTATCCATATTATACTCACCCTGTCTAATAATATCTTCTTCTCCCAGTAATACTATAATAACTTAATATGACTGGTTCCCCAACATTAATGTATCGCGTCGCACACATTTATGTCGGCCTTCGCATTTAAATCTAGAATGATGACAATAAATACATGTGCTCAAGCATTCCCTAGACTTCTTTACCTCTAATACTCACTTAGCGCCTCCTATAATTCATGCACCACAAAAGAAGAGAATGCAGACAAAGAAAAAAGTAAAATGGAACGATAAAATCAGAAAAAGAATAACAAAAAAACAACAAAAAAGGAAGAAAAGCAAAAAAAAGAACAACTGCTTCCACACAACTCGTCATGAATAATACCCCTTGGCCCTGGTCTACACCGGTCTGCACTAAACGCCTGGCACACACACTGTCTCTCTGTGCGTACAACTAAAACCGCGCAGTATAACAACAACATCAATTTCTTCTGCCGTCGTACACTCGGTGGCAATCTGCTTTACCCGGGCCGCGTTGGTCGACGCGTGACTCGGATAGACAATGTGCTCCTCCTTCTTACACTCGGCTACAATGCGGTTTACCCGGCCGCGTTTGCACGTAGAGACAATCCTCCTCCTTTCTTACAGTCCGACCGACCTGTTGCTCGGAGACAATCTCTCCTCGTTCTTTACACTCGGCCACTTCGTCGAATCCGTCTTACACTGGGCCGCGTTGGTCGTCGCGTTTGCTCGGAGAGACAATCTCTCCTTCTTTTTACACGCGGACAATCCCGTTTACCCGGCCGCGTTGGTCGACGCGTTTGCTCGGAGAGACAATCTCTCCCGCCTTTCGTACACGCGGCCACGTCGTGCAATCGGTGTTGCACTTGCCGCGTGTGGTCGGAGACAATGGTCGTGCGTCGTGCACGCGGCCGGTTTGGTCGACGCGTTTGCTCGGAGAGACAATCTCTCCCTCCGTTCTTACACTCGGCTACTTCGTCGAATCGGTCTTGCACTCGGCTACGTCGTGGAACCGCGTGGGCTCGGAGACAATGGTCCTGCGTGGTGCACGGGGGCGCTTTGGTCGACGCGCTTGCTCGGAGAGACAATCTCTCCTGCTTCTTACACGCGGCTACAATGCGGTTTACCCGGCCGCGTGTGCTCGGACAGACAATCTGTGGTCCTTTCTTACACGCGGCTACTTCGTCGAATCTGTTCACTCGAACAAACCTTACCCGGCCGCGTTGTTCGACGCGTTTGCGCGGAGACATGCTCTCCTTATACTCGAATGCGTATGCGCATTCTATATTTGTGCTGCACTATACCCTTAGAATGCACTTGCTCATCTTTTAATAATTAATTTCCCATAAAGGAGAATACTACCCGTTCATATTATTCATTTGACTCTACATTGCAGATGCATGTAACGGGTACGCACCGGTGCCTATGGTCATGTTAAAAGAAGTTCACTAGATAACAAGAACAAAACAAGGCAAATGTAAGCACAAGTAAGCAGAACAGAGCAGAACACAAAAGACGGTATGGAATAATGTAAACCAGAAATATATTATGTATATCACATAATGAAGTACAAGTGGTGTACGGTCAGCATGCGTTATTCCCATGCATGAGCGCCGTCAGGCGAATGTCAGAGCTGTGCCAATAGGTCATCCACATATAACTCCGTCTCCTGCAAACGACATTCGACCTCGCACTGTTCTATGACTAATGCCAGGAGCAGTATCCATATGTTAGCGGTTGCCCGTTTTTTCATGTAAGGTTGCTTATGCAGTTGGGTGCGTGGTACATCTCTCACTCGTAGAACATCTTCTGTTCCCATTACGTTGTCCAGTTCTAAGGCTTTTTGCGCTATAGGTACTGCGCGTTTTTCCGGTGCTGTCTCCTCCTGGATGTGGACCAACAAATGATGGAACCACTCCTGTTCCCTGTACACACTCATTTGCCGATGTTGTTGCGCTATCCACTGTTTCCATGCGTGCTTCTTGCTGTCCATGGTTGCGGCTGTCCTGTGCTCACCGGATGCTGCGTCTGCCGCCATGTGTGCACGCAGGTATTGTGTCCAATCCGCTGTCAATTGCAAAAACCACGGCTGCGTCGTGCACTGCTGCAATAGGTGCTTGTTGCGGTCAATCCAGTTAATCCATTGGGTGCAGTACGACGTGTCGTGACCGTGGTCGGGGTTGGAATGAGCATGCTGTTGTGCATCTAACTGTATGTTTTCCATACAACTGCATGAAGCGCAGTCATTAGTTGGACAACGGTCCGTTGCTAACTGTATGGTTTCCATACAACTCCATGGATCGGGGTGCTCTTCGTTAGGCGGAGAAGCGTCCGTTGCTAACTGTCTGGTTTCCATACAACTCCATGGATCGGGGTCGTGTTCATTCGGTGGAGAAGTGTCCGTGGCTAACTGTATGTTTTCCATACAAGTCCATGGATCGGGGTGGTCTTCATTCGGTGCACAAGGGTGCGTTTGTAATTGTATAGTTTCCATACAACTCCATGGATCGGGGTCATGCGGTGCGCAAGGGTCCGTTGCTAACTGCATGGTTTCCATACAACTCCATGGATCGGAGTGCTCTTCGTTAGGTGGACCGGGGTCCGTTGCGAACTGTATAGTTTCCATACACTTGCATGGATCGGGGTCATCTTCGTTAGGTGGACAAGGGTCCGTTGCTAACTGTTTGGATTCCATACAACTCCATGGATCGGGGTCCTCTTCGTTAGGTCGACATGAATCCAGGGTTGTCGAATCGGCGGTTGTGGAATGGCCGGTTGTCGATTCCTGGTTCGAAGAAGAAACCGGGGCACCACAACGTCCGTTGTCGTCCCCCATAAACTGTTCAACGAGTATTTGCAAATAGTCGTCTTTGACGTTTTCCCACTCGGCTGCTTCACATTCGTTGAGCACTTCTAGATGTAGCTCGATGATCGTGCGCTTATGCACGCGTGGGGGGCGTGGTCCGCGGCGGTCGGCAAATGTATCGCGACGTGGTGCGCGCATAACCGTGTACCCGTAAACGGGTGGCGGCAGTTCGCCGCGTTGTAGATGTTGCAATATTTCTTCGTCGAGTGGCGGTGACGGCACGTCACGAACGGTTCGATATGCTCGTCGTCGTGGTTGTCCGAGGTACGCAAAGTACTAAGCACAAAAAGGGGGTAAAGAGGAGGGTGGGCACGGTAGGATAAAAGGAATGAACACGGGTGTAGGAGTATAGTGGTTAGAAAGATCATATATTGGAGCCGGTTGTGATGTTCTGAAGTATAAACATCCTGCACATGCGGGATTCCGTGATTGCCATATATACTTACCTGCCAAAGGGAATAACCAAGAAGGGCGACGGTGACGGAAGTGAGAAAAAACAGCACGGGAGTAGTGGCGGTAAGGACGTCGGCGGTTAGGTCGGGTCCATCTGGGCCCCCGCTCCCCGTACCTGCGTTTGTATTTGATGGGGAGGATGCTTTATGTTCTGGGTACGGGGGTGCAAATCCTCCAGATACAGTATCTATGCCGGGTATATGTCCTGGTGATATTTCCAGGACACATGGTCGGGTCCCTGCAGAATTCTCAGAAGGGTTACATTGTCGCTGATTTGGGTCGACAGAGTCGGAAGGTTGCTGTCCAGTAGTGCCACTCACGGGGGAGGCCGCGGCAGCGGGTGCCTGTGATCCGGTTTCGTTCTTTTTTTCCCATGGAAACTGTGTTCCATCCCAATCAGGGTGGAACATTTCGGAGCCATCGGAAGTATCCTCTTTTTGTATGACCCGAGGCACAATACTGTTTTCCCCGGAGGGGTGTGAAGTACCTGAGCATGATCCGTCAGTCGGTAAGTTGTCCCCTTTTCCCTGTTCATCCGCCTGCCTAGACGGCTCAGGTGGGCTATCGGCTCCTTTTGTTCCTTTTCCGCTTCCGTGTTCATTCGCATCAGCATCCTTCTTCTTATCCTCAACGTTAGGTTGTGTGCCAATGTTCGTTTTACTGTCTGTTCCCGGAGTTCCTGAATGGAAGTATAAGGACGAATGAAGACGATGAAACCGAATTTATGTTTCGGATCGTTGACCACGGTGCCCGTCGATCGCGTCGTGTCACGGTTGCCCACATGGTGCCACGGGGGACGGCGGAGCAGGACACGCACGGACGCAGAGACGGGCCGGGGCAGGAGACGGACGGGGGTAGGGCACGGTGCCACGGGGGACGAGGCAGGGATGGGGCAGGAGATCGGCCGGGGCAGGGCGGACGGCACGGCGGGGAATGGCGTCGGGGCATGGCACGGGGACGGCGCGAACGATGATTACGGTACCACTCCGGGAAAAGACTCTCTCTGTCGCCCGCAACACAACACACACACAGTGTGTGTGTGCGTCGGTCTGCATCTACGTCGACGTCGACGTCCACTCACCCGCGGCCGACCCGTCGCTCGGCCGCTGACTGCGCCGCTCACTCTCATTGGACGTTTGGCTTCTCTCTGCCTCCCTCTGCCTCTCTCTGCGTGGTGTCTCTGGCTCTCTCTGCGGAACTTGTTGTTTCTTTTTTTTTTTTTTTGTTCTCTCGTTCTTTGTTCTCATCGGACTCACTACCTGGGGTACTGCTTCCTGCGCAGCCGGATGTAGGACTGGTGTCAGTTAACGTAAGCTGTATACCAACATTATTATCATGAAACGGGGTTCTATGGACTTTCTTATCATTTATAGTGGTCACACAAGAGGGTCCATCCTGCTTACCTGCTGATGTATTCTTATCCTTCGGTTCATCCTTGGGCCCCTGGCCGTCCTGCCCTGGTGGCGGTGCCGCAGGTGGGGGTTGTGGTACGGGCCGCTGTGCCCCATTATCGGACCTGCCTACTGCGTCTGCACCATTCTTGGTTGAAGTTACTTTCTTCTCCGGAACAACCGCCTGTGGTACTGCTGGTACCTTAACTGGTGGATCTGCTGGTTTCTTGCCTCCTGCAAATAAAGCAAGGAAGATACACGACAAAATGATACAAAAAGGACACCAGTGGTACAGAAAGAAGGGGCGGCAGGAAGCATACGCTGAGGTGGATGATAGCAGTACACTTTTATTTGTTGTCGCCGTCATCGCGTCCGTCATGTCGTCTCCGGTGCCGGCGGCGCCGCTGCCGCTTCACGGTACGTTCGTCGCTCCCGTCGTGTACGCCACTGTGCTCGGCTCAACAAAGAGGGTGCTGTTTCAGCCGTGTGCCGTGCTGTTCTCGCCGCGTGTGCGTTGTTGTGATGGCATCCATGCGTAGTTGTGTGTGCTGTGCTGTTGTTCTTCCCGTGCGTGTTGTGGTGTGATGGCGCCATCCATATGCGCACTGGTCTCGGTGGCAGCCGCACTATGTGTATGGTTACAGGGTGTATTCACCTTCTTACCTGTCGTATCCTTGTCTTTCACTGTTGCAATTTCCTGTTCTACCTTTTTCTTCACCTGTTCAAACACCTTCGTTGCTTTCTCTACTATCTCCTTCGTTACTAGCGCCACCTGCTTAAGTCCCTTGTCGTCCAAATTTTTATTGATACTCTCCTGTTGTTGTTCCCCGTCCTTAATATAATCTGTCCATTTTGTTGTACACGGCATTGCCTGTTGCATTTGTGCTATTTCAGAACTTATTGTTCCGTCCCCCAATAGCCAGTCAGCTATTTCCCAATTTATTGCTTTTGACCACCTCCGATGCTGGTCATATCCACACATTGTGCACTTTCCTTCCACAACAGGACCCGGTACCAATGCAGTTCCATTTTGTCCTTGACTCTGCATGCTCTTGAATGTTTCCCAAGCATACTCTGTACCTCTCTTGTATCCTCCCTTATCCTTACAGTACAACGTTTTCAGTAGATGCCCAAAGACATGTACCACCTCACATCTTAACCTATTGATGTGGTCATCTTTTGTGTCTGTGTTTGCAAACCACAACGCACCTGACATGAGTCGGCACCTCATCATATCCGCTACTCTTTGTCCCGTATAGTATGCAACGTCGTCGAAATCATTCCAACCTGTATTATAACAGTTGGCACCAAGTGCGTCAAAATTTTCATTATTGGTTCCTAAATACTTAATAAACTCTTCCAACACTTCCTTCACCTGGTGCCATTGATCAGCCTACATTGTGTTCACGAACACGAAGAACAGAACTGATGTGCCCATTGCATCTATAGTGTGTCGTCCTGAACACATGGACACCCTCATATGTATGCATTTAACGGTATAAATAAAATGGTCGTTCCTCTTCTATGTGGCCTAGTCATGTTTGTGGCCATGTCCCCACACCTCCTGTTTTAACTTACATTGTACCCGTGCACCACGTACACTTCCGTATGCGTCCCGTCCAATATTCTCTGCCCTTTACATGTCGTGTGTTCGGTGTTCCCATTACCTCCGGGAGCAGCACCCTTACCACCACCACCACCACCAGATGATGTCGTCGTCGTGCCACTTCCCGATGACGGTGGTGATGCCGGTTTCACCGCTACTGGTTGGGCAGCTGTCGCCGGCTTGACCGGTTGTGGTGGTGGTTCTGAGCCGGCCGCTGGTGTCGCCACGGTGGGCGGTTCGGACGGTTTCGTGGACGATGTCGACGGTGGTACGGGTCTCGGCCGCGGTCTTGGTCGCCTCCCTGGTCCTGTTCCAGGGCGTGGTGACGGTGACCCTGCTTTCCCGGGTCCTCCTCCGGATCCACGTCCTAATCCTGGTCCTCGTGGCACTTGGCCACGCGCAGCGGTCGTTTTTGTCCTGTTCACTGTGTTCTGCATTTCCTGGACCTTCTCCTTTATCTTCGTCTCTATGTCACAGCGCCCCGTGTATCCCCCTTGTTTTTGCATGTCGTGTAACACCCTCCGTACGTTCGGAAAGGTGTCTGCTGCTTCCACCGAGTGCCTTATTGTCTTCATGAGCGCGTCGTCTTCTGTTATCACCACGTCGTTCTCATTGCATGGTTCGTCAGTGTGCGTAGTTCCGTCTGTATCATCCCATCCACATTTTCTTGCTGCGTGCCCAGCACCTGCTCTAACTTGCGGCCAAGTTTTATTGAGGTCGTGTAATCGATTATGTAGGGCAGTTCCCAGACTCTTTGATTGGAATATCACCTTCCCCCAATCTCTGTTGTCACATATTCCACTTTGAAGCGTCTGCTGCATAAATGTTTTACCTGGTGTTAAATAATCCGAAACCCTATTCATTACGTCCACATGATCACGATTGCTCCCATAGACTCGTACTAAAGCCTCTCCTGCTAGCACACATCTTAAATATTCTTGAAAGGCCGTCCAATGTGCCTGGTCTACTGTCCGTGTCTGCAATCCTTGAGTCTGTGTTAAATCATACCCTTTCATGTATAGCAGGATTTTTGTAATCTCCTGACATCTGCTACGGCATAATCCATCATGCCCCGTATTATATATACTTCCGCAGAAGCCGGAAATCGAACCGTGACTTTCACCAATTTTCTTGATTAACTCTCCAAAGATTTTATCAACTTCCTGCATCAGTTTGTCCTGCAGGTGCAATAATTCAGACATGTATGCATACTGTGTACTGCGCCTTAGTTCTATATTTTAATGCAGGTACGCACACGCGCTTGTTGATGTGTGAACACAGTATGTATTTCTCCCGTCTCGTTTAAATACCGCGGCCGCCTCATGTCCATATTACTTATATAAAAAATTCACACACACATAGTGGTCCCTATGCCGAATACATACATATGTCCCCGTAAATGTGTTATGTCGGCCCTCTCTGAACTGCCTGTATAGTTGAACCTACCCAATATGCCTGTGCGTCCGTGATGTTCATGTGCGTTAGATAATGCTCCCATGCCCCTAGAAAGGGCAGTATGTGCTGTCCATATGCCTCGAGCATATTGAACAGTTATTCCCTTCTTAAAAAAAAAAGTACCACTACTACTTCTACTACTACTACTACTACTACTGCTAGTACTACTGCTACTACTGCTGCACCGCTGAATAACAACAACAACAACAAAAAAATAATATACACACACGCCGTCTCCGGGGCACGCCTCTTCCGTCAACGCCTCTCCCGTCAACGCCTCCTCCGTCCACGCCGTCTCCGTCAACGCCTTCTCCGTCAACGCCCCGCCGGGTCCCGGTGTCTGCGTCAACGCCTCTCCCGTCACCCCGTCTCCGTCAACGGCTCTCGCTTCAACGCCTCTCCCGTCACCCCGTCTCCGTCAACGCCTCTCTCGTCAACGCCTCTCCCGTCACCCCGTCTCCGTCAACGCCTCTCCGTCAACGCCTCTTCCGTCAACGCTTCTCCGTTAACGCGTGTATATCACGCTGCTGCAAACGCGTGATAGATACACAAAGTACTACTTGTTTTCTTCTGCCGTCCACCTTTCTGCCTTCCTTGAAGAAGGAAAAAAAAAAATGTACACTACTACTACCACTACGCGCACAACGCGTCATGAATACGCCATGCTACACCGTTCTCCACTAACCCCCATTCACACACACTGTGTCTCTCTGTGCGTACACCTAAACCCCTTGTACAATAAAACCGCAGTAATAACAACAACATCAATGTCTTCTGCCGTCGTTTCTGCCGTCGTTGCGGACCTTATGGCTCCCATATAATATGTGTATTCCGTGGCCTCCGCACCTCCCTCTCTGTGCTTCCCCTCTTTGGATCCTCACTCGGACAATCTCCGTTTACCCGGCCACTTCGTCGAATCGGTCTTGCACTTGGCCGCGTTTGCTCGGAGACAATGGGCCTCTTTCGTGCACGCGGCCGCTTTGGTCGACGCGTTTGCTCGGAGAGACAATGTGTACCTTCGTACACTCGGCTACAATGCGGTTTACGCGGAGGCGTGTCCTCGGAGAGACAATCTCGCCTTATACGCGAATGCGTATTCGCATGCTATATGTGTTCTGCACTGTACCCGTAGAATGCACGTGCGCATGTTTTAATAATGAACTTCACATAAAGGAGAATACCATCCCTTCATATTATTCATGTAAATCTACATTTTATATGCATTTAACCGGTACCCACCCAGTCCCCATGGTCATGTTAAAAGAAGTTGACTACATAACAAGAAACAAACAAAAGCAAAAGTAAGCACAAGCAGAACAGAGCAGAAAAAAAAAAA